CTCAGGCTACACTTTATTAATCCTGAAGCAGAGATCGCACCTAAAATCGTTGTTGTTAGTGCTCGGGTTTTGGGCACTGTGATCACAGCAGGCAATCCTTTTTTTGACCAGGCCATACTACGCTTTAAATTAATGTGAAATGCAGACTCATCGAGAAAGACGCAATTAGTTCTAAAGTTCATGTCCGTACGCCCCCACTTATGAACCCAGTCAAAACGCTCATGAATTTTTTCTTCACTGTTCCTATCTACAGGCTGAAATTGGGCTTTTTTTGAATGACAAGCTACATTCAGTTCTTACAAAATTGTAGACAGTGCTTTTAGAGACCTTGAGATCCTGAAAATTTTGAAGTAGTCGCTCCATCACTTGCTCCAAGACGGCTGAAGGATTCTCATCTATATACTCCAAGATCACTTGCTTGTGTTCTTCTTGAAGTATACGCGAGCGACCGGCTTCTTATGCTTTATAAAAACACTATTAGGATCCGTTTTGTACATTTGAGCCCATCTTTGAGCTGTGCGAACATGAATACCTAATTGTTTTGCAGCAGCTGAAGCACTCATAACTTTCTCAAACATCAGTTTAAAGAATCTAACTTTGCCTTGATCCGTATATAGTGTGTACACTCGCTTACTCGACGCCTCCTTCATGCAAGCATTTGGATCATCTTTTGCATCTTCATCTGCCACAGAGCCTACATCGAAATTATTCTCCTGAGGCTGATTATGCAAATACTGAGTGTGAACTAACTGTTTCTAAAGCATATCGCTCTTCATCATTGATATAGTCCATAGGCTCAGGTCTACCGTATTCAGCAACTGCATTACCGTGTCCGTCTTCGTAGAAAATTTGAAAGCTCATATTGTAATACTCGGTTTTTAATGAGAAAGGAAGCAAAAAAAAGAAAAGAAAAAAAAAGAGCTAACAGTGCTTTCGTGCTTCATATACACATATTTTGTACGATAAGGCTCCTACATATACGACATTCAATTTGTCCGCAAGCGTAATCAGCCAATGTTTTACGTGACAATAGAATTTAACGAACGCGAACCCCACCCTTGGCATCAGTGTCAACAATTTTTGGAAATACTGTATAGCCATCTCTAAGGGAGCCTATGCCCCTAGCTCAGTGGTCAAAAATCTATGGTTTGAAGCCAAAATCCTACGTTCGAATCCCACAAAACCGCTCCTAGTAGCTTGCTCTTGAGGGTTTTAATGCCGCTTTCTATGGTTCTCGGTTGTTGGTCGTTGGAAATAAACAAATTATGAATAATTGCGGTACCCGCCCAGGTTGAAATAAGCATGAACCTTAACACCACCAAGCCTTAGCCTACCAATTATAATGATTAATTTATCTTCCTCTACCCACCCCCCATTAGATTGTATGCTTTCCCCCTCCACCACCATATTATACACCCCACCTTGTTGAACTTGCCCGGGCAATTTCAGTATAAAATACTACGCGCCCACTTGGGTTTAATAAAAGATTGTTTAACCGTATAGCAAACTAAAAACAGCAACCAAAGAAAAAAATGTATGATTGAATATTAGTAAATTAATTGAAAACGTTATTAACAGCATCTTATAGATTGATAATAACTCAAGCGATTCTAAAAATTTAATGGGGTATAAGCGCTACGTTAAACGTATGTATCTTGTGTATTAGCCTACTAACGACTTCCTACGTACCTAGGGCAAAATATGAAAGCAGTAATAGTAACAACATAGTAAAAAGTTTTCGTCAAGAATTTAACGTTCGACAAGAAAAAATGGTGTGTGTTTACAGCCCTGATAAAGCTGAAAACTGTGGCTTCCGAACAATCAGCATGGTCACTTTCAGTGACCAAAATAGATGGCAAGAGGTAAAAGCACTGATGATGAAGACTTACAACAAGTATAAAGACACCTTGTACGCAAACAGAGTGGATGATGGTGGCAGCTTTGAAAAAGGCTTGTCATGTAACTTATCTCTATGTCCTGTAGATTATTGGTTCAACACCATTGACCATCCACAGATTGCAGCGGATGCCTTTGGTCGTGCTATCGTAGCCTTTTCGAAAACATCAGTCGATGACACACCACATATACAAAGCAGTTTATTCGTACCATTTGTCACAAACCCTATGAACATGGCAGCTATAAGTATTTTCCTTTGCCACAGCCATTTCTATCTTATACAAGCTGCAACAACTAAGACTGGAAGGCAAACAAAACTTCCACTTCCACTTATCAACCCTTATCACAAAGCAGCTATAAAAAAATTCGCAGCAATATACCCTATAGATTTCTCCATTACGTATTAAAAATAATTTATAAAAAATGATTTGTTAAACAAATAGAATGCTATTATCTACTAACAGTTGTTATCAACCAACATGCGATAGTGTGAAATCTACAGCTCGCGCACCACTTGAGTGATTTGCAACGTCATTATTTTGCAAATTCACTGTTCGAACCAAAAACGTGATGTCATATTTTGAACAATGGTGGCCAACCTATTTTCTTCAGCTGTAAACTTTATCAGATAAACCTGTTTTCGGTGACCAAATTTAAAGTTGTCACTCAGGTACCTTTTTTCTGTTATTTCTTTTTGTCGGCCACTGTAATGGCCTTCTTGCATAACCGCGTATTACGAAGGGATAACCTTTATGTCTTCATTCACCAGTGCGCGTTTCTGGCCACTGGCATTTCAATAACACTTGGAACGCAGTGGATATTTTATCATGGAGCTGCAAGTAACGATTAACATGTTGTGCACATTAGCATCATTGTAAATCTTTCTTTTTTCTCTCCTTTTTTGTTATATAAAAAAGCTGGAGATAGCTACCTTACTCAGTTAGCGCAGTACTTTGGAATGGTACTAGTTGGCGCACTGATCCCTTTATTAAAAAAGAATAAAACTACATACAATAAAATAGCCCAGCAGGAAGATGAGATTAGGATGAGTGACATGGTATGAATGACAAGATTCAACACAAGCACAGACTCATTCTATGAAATAGTTACATGTAAATGTAGAGGATACAGAAGAAGATCATAGTCATGAAGGACATATCAGTCATAAGGCTGTGATAAAGCTGGCATTCATGGACGTGTTTGCTAATTTTTGCGTCACTGTAGGATTTTCAATAATCGGAAGCGGGGTAATGTATGGTAATAAGTAGATGTTTGTAGCTAACAGCCAGTAGATGTATCAAGTCATTTACAGTAGTGTCGTCATATGGTGCGCAGTTCTTACATTCTTATTCATGAATAGAAAGCTATCTATCCTTCAGTGGATTGCTATACTTGGCACAAGCGCTGGCTTAGCTATGAGCTCTCTAGATTCAATGAAAGGAAGTGATGATGCCAGTGAAGAAGGTTGGTTTATCTTTAATGTATATAATCAAGTCTTATGTATCTTTAGTAAAAAATGGATTATTGATGTTTGGAACCCTGATGACTCTGAGTGGCACATTCTTTTACTGTAAGTAAAACTTGTATATATCTCTCAAAGAGAGTGTTCATGTTACTTTTTTTTTGTTTAGCCTGTGTTTATGTTTACTCTGATTATATCCTATCCAAGCAAACTCCACCATCTTTGCCAGCAAGAGTATGCTTTTATTCGGGGATATATACATCTTTGCTTTCACTTGGATGGATAGGCATATATACTCTTCCACGGTTTGACAGACTAATCCATATTCAGGGTACAAATACTTCCACAGTTCTTTTAATGTATGTCATCGTGAGTGTATCCAATGCAGTACATTCTTGGAATTACTATGAATTGATTGATAGAACTGGAAGTGTAAGATTATATATCAAAAAAAAAAAAGATTTATATAACAACCGTACTAACTCAGCTAAAGGTTGCTACCGGAATATTACAAGGCCTTAGGGCTGTTTTAATCTATGTGATCAGTAACTCATTATATTGTCAATCGGATGCAAGTCAATGTAAGTTTCCTTTAGATGCCACCTGCCCCTTATTCATTTTTTTTACTCTATAGGTCTTACGGTCTATAAGGGCTTAGGTTCAACGCTTGTTATCGGAAGCGTGCTATTATTTACAATTAGCCGTCGATAAAACAGTAAACAGCTTAAAATCTTGAATACTGCACTGCTTTTATTTTCTCTTACGAGTCAATTATTCTTTTATTTATAATAAATAGCATTGTTTTTATTTTTATTAGCACGTCAGAAGCCTATTATCACTAGCAGGAACTGATGATGACAGTGTGCTGACATTTGCCTTGTTGCATTGTCTTGTTCTTGTTAAAACATTGGTTATAGACCATAATACGCCGAATCCAGTCAAGACGCTTAGACACTATATAAACATTGGACGTTAGTTTTATAAATCAAATTATAATAAGGACTTGCCATAGTTTTCACTGTGATCGCATCTGAAAATCCATTTGCAATGTCTGCCAGAGTTTCAGCTAATATTCTTGCTTTACTAACAGAGAGAGGGCGCCATAGACAGTTCTCCAAGCTTTCACACAGGTCTGCAATAGCTGGAAGTCTAGTATTTGGCGAACAGTTATTGATTTCATACTGTCGCTGACAATATTTCTGTTCATTAAGTTGGTTAAACTCATAATTGGTGATTTTTGCATTCATATCCTGATGAATAAAGCGAGCAAATTGAATAAAGAGGTAGAAGAGCACTGAGAATATGATGCTAAAGAATCCGACTTTTAGTAGGCTTGTGATGTAATATATAGTGCTATGTTTCTCTGCAAAAGGATCTATATGAGGAAATGGCGCTTGATTGTAAATAAAAGTGGGTGAATGATGAGTAATTGGTTGAAAGTCTGTGGATGCAATTGATGTTGGTTTTATTGTTGTTGTAAGAGGTAATATCCTTTCTTTCTTTTCTTCTTCTTCTTTGTTTGTTGTATCTGTCATTTGTTTGCTTTCCTCTGTATATTTTGGGGATGTAGATTCAATCTATGAGAATATGAGTAAATCTACAATATCTTTTATGATTATTACTTTTGTATCTTTTTCTATCTTTTCATCCTTTTGTTCTATTTGTTCTTGAAGGCTGAATCCACTTAATAGATCACAAATTTCATCTGTTGCATGCAATTCTTTGGTATCAAATAAAGATTTTGTAAAGAAGCCAGTAGAAGACATAAAAGTACTTTCTTTTTGAAAGCAAGGCTGTGTGCTTAAAAATGACCTTGAATTAAAAGGAGTTTGATATTGAGGATTGGTATATTCATAATCCATGTCGTCAGGATCGTCATAAAACATTTATCTGTGTGTCTCTGTGTGTGTGCGTGTATATAAAAAAAAAAAAAAAAAAAAAAAAAAAAAAAAGACTCTTTAGGACAACAGTGACTTTCAAAATACACATAAACACCTACAGAAATGAAAACAAGAAGAAACAAGCAATACAACAGTTTATTCCAATGTTAAAGATATATAAAAGAATTACTCTAGCATCAAAGGAATCGTCCAAAAGAGAACCATTTCAAATTATCAAAGCAAGACTGCTCGGAATACAAAATTTTATCCCATGAAAATTTAAAAAAAAAAAAAGATATCCCTTTTTTCCAAAGAAATGCTTAGATTTTGCAGTAAAAGGACAGGTGAGAGAATAAGAATAAGGCAATAATGTATCACTAACTTTAGCATTGAATGAGAGTAGCTCAACTCTTTCGAGGAACTTTGGTCACGTATGTACTTTTTAGTGATTATTCCTGTCATAACACCTTGACATAGACCAAACAAGTCAAGATTCTATGCCACTGCAAGAATTGCTACTATCACTGGTAACTGGAAAAATAAAGCGGCCATTGCTGCCTTAGCTACCATTGGAGCTAGTGCATGGTGCATGGAACAGGTAAATACACCCAATTATACAAGTACATTTTTAATCAATCAACAGGCTCACTGTGATGCTGTGTCCGATGACAGACAACGAGTAAGTTATCTAATAAAAAAAAGCAGTTGATGATAATAACTCTCTGAAAAGAAAACTGAAGGACCTATTACGGATAAAGACCCAATGCGCCTTCGTATGGAAGCATTCATCAAGGGACTTCAAAACCGTATTGTATCAGAAATCGAGCAGTTAGATGGTAAACAATTCACAAGGACAGCCTGGGAACGACCAGAAGGTGGAGAAGGTATTACCTGTGTACTTCAGGATGGTAATGTCTTTGAGAAAGCGGGTGTTGGTGTCTCTGTTGTTTATGGTCAGCTACCCAAAGCAGCCGTTGAGCAGATGAGGCACGATCGAGGAAAAGATATTTCTGCAGATGGACCTGTACCTTTCTTTGCTGCTGGTATCTCTCTCGTCATTCATCCTCACAATCCTAATGCACCCACCGTACACTTGAACTACAGATACTTTGAAATAGAAAACCCAGATGGCACACCCAAGATGTGGTGGTTTGGCGGTGGATCTGATTTGACGCCCTCTTACCTTTATGAAGAAGATGCTATCCATTTCCATCAAGTGCTCAAGGACGGATGCGATAAGTTTGACAAGAAATACTATGGTCAATTCAAGCAGTGGTGTGATAAGTACTTTTTCATTAAGCACCGCGGTGAAGCAAGAGGTGTGGGCGGCATCTTTTTCGATGATTTAGATGATAAGCCAGCAGATGAGCTTTTCAGCTTTATAAAAGAAATGGGTAATCGATTCACTGCTTCTTATATCCCCATCATGAAAAAGAGAATGAATATGAAGTATACACCAGAGATGAAAGAGTGGCAGCAGATTCGTCGTGGACGTTATGTTGAATTTAACCTCGTCTGGGACAGAGGTACAAAGTTTGGTCTTCAAACCCCTGGTGCTCGTATTGAGGCCATTCTAATGTCCTTACCTTTGACTGCAAGATGGGAATATATGAAAGAAGTAGAAGAAGGCTCAAGTGAACAAGACTTGTTGGAAGTATTAAAAAATCCTAGAGATTGGGTTCCTCTCGATTAAAGATGTACTTTCTAGACTGTTTTATTTATAAAAGTTTGCTTTATATAAAAATACCCTAGTTGCCTTCTTTTTGACCATAGCCACCTCCTCCTGGCGTAAGGATGACAATACGATCACCGCGTGAAAAGAGTGCAGAGTTCTTTCCTGTCAAATTCAGTGTTTGTGTAATCTCTTGCTTTTCATAGCGAACCCAGAGATTGATTCCTTTTTCTGCGTCTTTACCGCCATTTAGACCATAGGGTCGGAATACTCGGCGCTCGGATAAAATGGAAACTTGAATATCATCTTCCAAGAATTCAATTTCACGTATAACACCATCGCCGCCACGGAAATGACCATCACCACCAGAGTTTGGACGAATACCAAAAGTGTGCAGAATAACAGGGTAACGACGTTCAAGAATCTCAGGATCCGTAATACGAGTATTTGTCATATGCGTGTGGACACCACTTTGCCCATTCCAAGTTGGGCCAGCACCACTACCGCCAGCAATAGTTTCATAGTAGCCCCAGCCAGCCTTTACCTCTCCAGTTTCCTTATTTTTACCGCCCTTACCAAATGTCAAGTTATTACAACAACCTTGACTAGCAGCACAGGCTTCAAAGGCTCTCAAGACAACATCGACCAAACGTTGACTTGTAAGTACATTACCACCGACCACCGCGGTCTTTTCTGAAGGGCTCAAGATAGAACGAGGAGGGATCTTGATAGCGATGGGCTCCAAACAGCCTGCATTCAAAGGTATATCTTGATTTACAAGACAGCGAAGGCAGTATATGATGGCAGAATAACACACGCTTTCAGGTGTGTTGGTATTACCATAAACTTCAGGACCAGTGCCTTCAAAGTCAAACAAGGCAGCGCCTTTTTCATGATCAATCGATACTCGCAAATGAATGGGTGTACCGTCATCCATATAGTCAACTGCCGCCAAATCCTTGTAAGAATTATTTTTAGCAACCCCCTTTAATAACTGTCTAACAGCATTCGCTGCGTTACGACGAATATGCATCATGTATGCCTGTACAACCTCAAGAGAGTATTCTTCAATCAACGCATTGACCAAGGTGATACCCTTTTGATTAGCAGCAATCTGTGCCTTCAAGTCTTGAACAGGGTTAGTTCATGTGTTTAATAAACAAAGGTGCCCTTACCAGACAAATTGTCTTTGAATGCACGTGAACCAGAACAGCCTGGATATGATGCAGGGATAACACACAAATGCTCCTCAAGACCCTTTTGATCAAAGTGACCTTTGGAAACAATCTTGAACGACTTGATTGCAGCACCCTCTTGGAACAATTCTTTAGAATGAGGCGGCATAGAGCCAGGTGATATTCCGCCAATATCCGCATGATGTCCTCTTGATGCGACAAAGAAGACAATTTTACCATCATTGAACACAGGCGTGATTATAGTAATATCTATCAATAGAATATGAATACTTATATTTATTCAATGATACCCTTACCTGGTAAATGTGAGCCACCAGCTGCAGGGTGATTCGTCATGATAACATCACCCTCATGCAAGTCATCCTTATAATAGTTTAATTGATATATTACTGCATGACTTAGCGAACCTAGATGCACAGGAATATGTGGGGCATTAGCAACGAGTCCACCATCAGCACCAAATAAGGCGCAAGAAAAGTCTATATTTATCGACAGTTAGTTTTGTATTATCATACCATGCTCGTTTTACCAAGTCGTTCTTTGATATTTGTAGATATAGCTGTCTTTTGAAGAGTATGACCCATTTGTTCAGCAATGCTCATGAATCGATGAGAAAAGATAGATAGCTGAATTGGTTCCATTTCTGTTGTCACCTTCTTTCTTTCTCCTTTACCGATTGTGATCGTGAGATGGTTAGAAGTAATCAAAGCAGAGCAAGACGGTTCGATCACGACTGTAGATGTAGCATCTATAATGATGGCTGGACCATTTACAATTGAACCCGGAGCAAAATGACTCAGACGGTAGACAGGAACATGACCATTTCGCCCTCCTTCTTCAAAGTATGCGGAAGTAAAAGAATCCGCCTTACTGCTATCTATTTGTCGTATCTGATTTGAAGCATATAATTCCTGGGCTTCTCTGTCAGGCGTGAGGTCTTTATGACGCATTGTCTTGCCAATTCCACGAATACGAATGTCATCTACCAAAATGTCACGATCTTTGAGCAAGAAGCCAAATTCTTGTTTGTACAACTCGCAGAATGCATTCTCAAAGTCCCAACTTGATTCAGAAGGCTGAAGTGTCATCAAAGCGCAATCCGTACCTTCATAGCGAAGGTTAAGGTAAACTTCCAGGTCAATGTCTTGATTACGAAACCCTTGTTTGGAAAGCTCCTCTTTACATGTCTTTTTCAATTCACTTACGCGTCCTTGGATACGCGAAAGAGTATCCTTACTGAATACTTGAGCAGAAGGCTCTTGCACTTCGTGAACAACATCAGCAAGGGCAAGTCCAAAAGCGGAAAGAATAGAGCTATGTCGGTACATGATAATTTTACTAATACCAAGGTTACGAGCAATCCCACATGCGTGCTGTCCTCCTGCACCACCGAACACAGCTAACGCATGCTGGCTGGTATCATGACCTTTTGCTTCAGTTAATGCACGAATAGGTCTACACATTGTTTCATTTGCTACTTTAATGAATCCATATACAATCTCATCAAGCGATTTATCTTCTCCCGTTGACGTATTGATATTTTTTGCTAATTCTTTAAACTTTTCTTCAACCACTTGCCTGTCGAGAGGTTGATCTTCGTTAGGACCAAATATCTTTGGAAAGTAGTCTGGTAAAAGACGACCCAAGAATAAATTTGCGTCAGAAACTGCTAATGGTCCCCCTTTTCTTAGCACATGGAGAGATAAGTTAGTATAACCTATTGCGAATATATGATGTGTACCTGTAGCAGGCTGGTCCAGGATGAGCACCTGCACTCTAATCATTCAAAAAGTTAATTTAAATCATTTGTTGATATCATCATTACCTCTGGTCCAACAACAAACATGCCATTCTTGAAGAATAACATAGACCCACCACCAGCGGCAACGGTATGAATATCTAGCTGAGGTGCTTGGATCGTTACACCAGCTGTCGTTGTCTCAAATACATGATCAAAGTAACCATTATAGCGTGAGACATCTGTACTTGTCCCACCCATATCAAAACCAATGACTGGTACATCATTGTATGACGTTAATGCATATCCAACAACGCCACCAGCAGGGCCAGATAGTATAGCCTTGAATCCTGAGAAGTGACTTACTGGCACTAATCCACCGTCACTCTGCATGAACTGTAGCTGAGTAGTACCCTTTTGGAATCCATCATCAAAACCGCTGACAAAGCTCTGGATATACTTCTGAATACATGGTGTCAAGTAAGCATCCGCTGTGGCAGATGTTCCTCTAGGTACAATCTTTACCATGGGCATCACTTGATTTGAAAGTGAGATATGAGAGAAACCTATGCTCTCGGCTAACTTGCCAATTTGATTCTCATGCTCAGGATAAATATATGCATGCATTAAACAAATAGATATACTCTGGTAGCCTTCGTCATATAACTGTTGAAGTTGTTGCTTGGTCTTAGTTAGATCTAGAGCTAAATGTAAGCTTATGCTACTTTTTGATTTTGGACACTAACCTGGCTTCTTGAGAACTTTTACCCATTCGTCAGTTATGCCTTTTTTTATAAACTCATCCTCTTGAGCTGGCTTGATCTGATTCTCCGAGACAGCGGAATTCACCAAGACGATACTACAAGAACGAATTCAAGTTTATGCGCAGATTGAATGAGTAACACATACTTACCGTTCATCAACCTCAATAACCTTTTCATAGAGTACATCTGGCTTATTAATACAAAGATCAAAGATTTTGGGTCTTGACTGATTTCCAATAGTCAAAAGATCCTTGAATCCTTTAGTAATCAACAATGCGTTCTTTTCTCCTTTTCTTTCGAGTAATGCGTTTGTAGCAACTGTAGTTCCCATGCGTACGCTTTCTGTATGTTTCTATTATTATTCACTTGATAAAAAAACTACGCGTTTAATTTTTACCGATGAATCTGGTTGGAACTGGTTGAGATCTGGGAATCTTCTCTCCAGTTGCCAATTCAACTATTCTTCTTATTCCTTCTGTTGGAGCATCTTTATAGTTGGAAGGATCCTCGGATAATAACTTGATCACAAATTCCTTATAATCATCATCCTCTGGTTTACCCAAAAAACCAATACAATCTGTAAAAGTACCTCCTCGATCAATGCATATAGTGAGCTTATTTTTTATTGTCATAGTCTAATGAACCTTTTTATGAAAAATAAATACAAAAGAGAGAGAGAGAGAGAGAGAAAGATAAAAGAGAAGCAAGATATGGATAAAGATGAAATCTCCGCTTATAAGACTATTGAGGTTGTGATACAGGTAGCCACATGGCCTATGTTTGAATGTTATTGAATGTTCTTATTTTTGATTTTATTCTTACCAAGCCGTCGCTTGCTGTGATAAACATGGCGTGTGAAGGTGAAAATTCAGCAGCCTTAATAGGATCCTTATGAGGAGATTGTAAAGAAAGGAAGGGTTCGATGTCTATTTTATCATTTTGTAATAGATCCCACACTCTTACACGACCATCACTTCCGCCTGCCATCACAAACCGTCCATCTGGCGTGAGACTGACTTCTTCTCCATTGGTTGAGGCATCATTTGGGCCAGCATTGCCTATCAGACGATGCATGATACGACCATTAAATGAGTCTACGACGTACATATTATCGCCAACGGTTGTGACAATTATATATTTTCCATTAGCTGTAAACTTTATGCTAGTCCATTCTGGTATTGGTGTAGAAGGATAGATTGGATCTTCGATAGACCATGATGAAAATGGTCCACGCGTGTATTCACCAATGTCGTACATGTGGATAATGTTTGTATTTGTGCCTACGGCAAACACTAGTCCTTGTGGATCAATGGCTGCCACTAATCGTCCTTGTCCATGCACTACGCCCTATATTTAAATAAGAAACATATATCATTGATCCAGTCTATATTCTACCTGTCCTGTAGATGAACGTAAATCCCATAAACGAACTGTTTCATCCAATGAAGCGGTTAAGACTCTATCGTCTATAGGCGACACATCAATGGCTGTTACCCTATCAACAATCGTATTTATATATATATATATTGAATCATTATGCATACTGCTTACCTCTTTTTGTGTCCACGAAAGTAACGAATGAATTTGTTATCAAATAGTGAAAGGTATCTCAGCGTGTCTTTATAAAATAAAAGTAAGAACTAAATTACGCGCGCATGTATGTGCTCTTTGTGGCTACCGTCTTCTTTTGTTGATGCATAAATCACATTGTTGTCATGATGTGAGAACCTTGCTAATGTAGCGCCGTACTTTTTTGAAAATACTGTAGCCTTTGATCTTTATTATTTTTAGTAATGAACATTAACAACTTGATCACTTACGATCCTTCTAAAGCGTCATAGACTCTTAAGCTATCGTCTTCAGCAGTAGTTAAACAAGTGACGCCACTGTCATTGAATGAAAGTGAAGTGATTGGACCATCAGAGTCCTGAAATATCTTTGAAACTCTTATTGTTGAAAGTAGATCCCTTGACAGTTCAGTAGTCTGTGTTGTCATAAAAAATGAAAAGAAGTATAAAATTGAAAGAAAGCAGTGACAGTCAATATTTTTGATTGGCTCATAATCTATGTCGCATGTTCGTTCGATCATCATTATTAGAAAGCCCTCTACTTTTTTTTTCTTTTCTTTTTCTTTTTTTCTCTTTTTCCCTTTTTTCTTTTTACAAGTAACCTTTCTCCTTTTACAAAACTAAACAACAAAAGATGGCTTTAAAGCGCATTAACAAAGTAAGATTACTATTTTTTAAAAGAGAAAAAAGAAAGAGAAATTAATGAATCATGTTTACCATTTATAAAAGGAACTTAAAGATCTTGAACGCGACCCTCCTTCTTCTTGCTCTGCAGGACCTATTGGAGAAGACATGTTTCATTGGCAAGCAACCATTATTGGTCCTGAGGATAGTCCATACCAAAATGGTGTCTTTTTCTTAGGTATACACTTTCCTACCGACTATCCTTTCAAACCACCAAAGGTAAATAATAATAATAATTATAATAATAAAAACAAGAACAACAAAATGTTAATATATATTTAGGTTAACTTTACTACCAAAATCTATCATCCCAATATCAATAGTAATGGATCTATTTGCCTTGATATCTTGAAAGACCAGTGGTCCCCTGCTCTTACGATCTCTAAGGGTAAATTTCTATTATTATTTGAACCTTTCTTTAGTTTTAATGCCATATTTAGTGCTCTTGTCTGTATGCTCTTTACTTACTGATCCCAATCCTGATGGTAATCATGTATACTTTTTCTAATATATAAAACTAACACCTTTTATAAAGATCCACTTGTGCCAGAGATCGCCCATATTTACAAGACTGACAGAGCTCTTTATGAATCTCGAGCTAGAGATTGGACAAAGAAATACGCAAGTAAGTAATGAATAATAATATTGGAGATGATTCCGAATACTGAGCATCCTTTAGCATAAAAAGATACTAGGATTTTTTATCTTTACTTTTTTTTTTCTTTTTATTATGTACTCAATCATTAAAAAAAGAGAGAAAGAAAGAAAGAAGAACAAGAATGATTTAAACAATCGAATACTATGAATGTCGTGTTACAGAGTAATAGTTTATTATCAGTTCACTTGGTAGTAGTAGAAGAACAAAAAAAAAAGAGTGAATGGGAGCGTCTATACTCTAGGCTTGAACATATTTGCATTTTCTTCAAAAAACAATTGAAGAGGTTTACGTGAGAGGTTTGTGATCATACTTGCATGAGGAACACAAACACTACTTGAAGTCTTTTGCACCCAATCAAAGTAATCAAGTATGGTTTGAATTTGTTTACCTATCCAATTATAATAAGTCGAATTGTTCTTTTTTTTTTATATATGTTGTTTATGTACTTGTTGGCACGGCATAGGCTCTTTTCCTGTATTCTTCACTTGTAAATGTTTCGTTGAAAATCTTTGACATTTCTTGCTTCAAACGAGCATCAAACCAAACATCCGAACCAAGATTCTCAAGATAATAGGATAAATCCATAGGACGTGCTTGATGGAACTTGAAGCCTTCGTAGCCTGTTGCATCTGCTATTAACTGTGCCATTTGCTTACCATTCAAAAGTTCTGGACCAGACAGAGTATAGACTTGGCCATCATGACATAAGTCAAGGTGTCTTACCATCTGTTGACGTCGATCAAGAACCAAGGATTCAACTACCTTGCATACATCCGAGATATCGATTGGACAGATCTCAACGTTCTCCGCCACAGGTAGTAAGAGTCCCTTGGTTTTTTCTGCATAATTTGCCCATAGATGAAAGTACTGCTGTATAAAATCCAGCCTATGATTGCACGATTAATAAAGAAGGGTATATGACAAAGAACAATAGCAAACAATGACGAGAAATTACCTTAAAATAGTGTACTGACAAGGTAGCTGTATGACTTCTTGTTCAATTTGAAAATAATCTTGAAGTGAAGAGTGGTTTCGAGAGACAGCACCTATGTGAGATACACAGATGATACTTTTAACACCAGAGCGAGAGGCAACCTCGCAGATGTTCTTTGCATGCTTGACACGATTTGCTTCATTTCCTATGACTAGAACGACATGATCTACACCACGTAAAGCGACAGACAGCTGATTGACATGATTGTAATCGACTTGGTGTACATCAATGCCTGCTCTACGAAATCCATGACATCTTGACTTTGTCTCGCATAACACACGAAGATGAGAACGAAGATGGTCAAATTGTGCAAGGTGAGATGTGATAGAATAGCCCATCAATTGATCAGCACTAGTGATAAGGAGCATTCTTTTTTTTTTTTTCTAAAGTGAGATTATTAAATAGTATAGAGAAAGAGGGGGAAAGATAGTATACCAAATGAAATAATTCTGGCAAAAGCAAGAAAGAAAGACAAAAGAAGGGTTTTTATTTATAAGTGATCTCTTTTTCTCCCTTTCCCCATTTAGGGTTCTCTACTCGGAGAATATAAATGTATGCGCTTGTCTGATGACATGAGATGATGATTCTTGAAGTTATTCAACAGGTTTAACATCAATGCACATAATTTACATGAATAAGGCTAACACTCGTTTGTCTCTGGTTTGAAACTATACAAGCTTCCCTTTTACTGTAAATATACGTAATTTAGCAGAATGATATCACACTTTATTTTATTTTTTACTGCTTTTTGTATCATCTCTCGAAAAACATAAATATACGCTTAATCCATATATACACACACACACACACACAGACACACAGACACTCGGCATTTATCCCTTATTCTAATTTTAAATTCAATATTTTGATCTCGGCTAAATCTATTATCCAATCAAATACCATTTTATGAAAATTTTTTGACAGTTCTAGTCAATTTTATACTCTTGTCACTTTATATGCTCGAAATAATACGATTACCTAACAAGGGAAGAGCTTATGTTGCTACAACAGATATACCTCAAGATACTTTACTCTGCATATCTGAGCCATTAGCCACAACCGTATCACAAGAATGGACTCCAGAGACATGTATGTGGTGCTTTCACTTTTCATACCCAAAGAAACAAAAGGTGAAGGCTGTAACAGAGGATCAATGTAAACAATGGAACATCTCGATGAAATATTTTAAGGATTTTTTATTTTGCTCGGATCGATGTAAACAACTTTGTATCAACTCATTTGATCATTATTGGGATACGTTGCTGGGCATTTATTATCGTATCGAACTAGAATCCCTACATAATAATAACTCGCTCACTATTAAAAAAGGCTCCGTACCTTCCATTAATGAATCGATTGACATCAAGGATGATCATGCCTTGTCTATTTGGTTAAATCATGCTTGGGATTGTATAACAAAAGATGTTGATCTATATAAAGAATTGGATGAAGTCGATAAACCCATGTTGAGATTGACTGCCACTTGTTTAGTTAAACAACTTCAAGACTCTGCTCAATTTGAATCATTGTTTGACATTCAAGATAATGAACTAACTTACTTTAGGCAATTGTATCAAAATCATCAATTACCCATTGTTCAAGACAACAAAGAAGCCTATCTCTCTATCCTACCTCAACCTCTTATTGATGTCATGGCACTTTACTGCACATTTATCCGTGCCTGCCGATACAAAAATAACCATATACCCACTTTGCCTCATGTACATCACACCATATTTAGATCCATCTATTTTCGTGAAAGAGCAAATAGTTTTGGCTTATGGGAGAATGGAGAACAGGAAGAGATAACAGATGACTTGGAATTACTCGGTTATGGCATCTACCCTTCGGCTGTCTATTTTAATCATTCATGTGATCCAAATGTGCTTAAAAAACGGGATGGTAGAGCGTTCAAGTTCATATCTAAACGCTATATTCGAAAAGGTGAAGAAGCCTGTATATCCTATGGGCAGATAGATGACACTGTTGAAAATCGCCGATCAAGGCTATGGGAACATTATCACTTTATTTGTCAATGCAGTCGATGTTTAAAAGAACAATAAACTTTTAATAACCTAAATATTCTTTTCGAAGACGCAGTGCATTCTTGCGAGTATCAATCCATTCATTTGATAACCTTCCAGTAATCACGTCTTGTGAGTCCCATTCGTTCATATCTCGTCCGATCCATCCTTCTGCCCATGCTCCCAACAGATTATTATACTCACACTCACGATCGACACCCATGGTAATGTCATTTCGACTATCCTTGTCTCCTATTTCCTCTTTAAATGGAAGGATAGGAATTTTACCACTCCAGTACCTCGCCATAACGGTGCATTGACGCTGCATAAGGGGGAATGGAGCAACACGAATGGGTACACCAATGAAACAGAGTGTTTTGTTACGTGCGTAAAACATGTAGTGTAGTAGGTTGTGCACTTTTTGACCAGTTTGAATTAAGTTATTCTCTTGGAAGGGTAGAAATGGAAAGCTAAAAAGGTATCCAGTTGCAAACACGACGATATCAATGTTCTGAAGTTGTTGTCCATCACTGCATTCGATAATGCATGTATCAGCTGTACAGACGATTCCTTTTAATAGACCAATCTGCACCACATTGGGTGTATTTGTTTCTGATGCCTGTCGGGTTAACTCGGTTTGAGTTCGGATACAGTGATATATTCTATGAGCCACACTGGATGCTTCTCTAACAATATCTAAACCTGAATAGCTTCCACCAACAACGAGTACTGTCTATGAAATGGTTATTCAGTGTACTATAAATAACTTTGCTACTTGCCTTATTTCTAAATATACTTGGTTCGCGATAGTCTCTAGAATGTAACGCCTCAACCCGTTTATTGCTATGCAACCCATCAATACCAGGAATATCAGGGATATAAGGGACCGTATAATGTCCATTAGCTACAACTACAGCATCAAACTCTTCCTCGGATTGTTCGCCAGTTTTTAAATTGGTAGAAGTTACCGTCCAGCTGGAGTGATAATCAACTTTATCTACTCTTGTCGACAATTTTATCATGGGCATCAATCCTTCATGTTCAACAATATCTTGAAGATACTTTAGAACATACACATGAGAAGGAAAGCAAGGAGTCTTGTTATCAAAAGGCACGTCTCGGTAACTCATGACTGTGGTTGGTAAGTTTGTATGTAGATTAGCATAAATGGGCGAATGAGTCTTGCCAACTTTTAAAGTATCGTCCACTTGCAAAGCGTTCGTTGAAGGAAGAGTTGGCGGAGGATCTCTTTCAGGAGAATATAACCTTTGTACATATATATATATATATATATTACTTAGATTTACACTTGTATCTAGGACATAAGTTTTTATTTACCAAGCACCACCTATTTGCTCATTCCTTTCATAAACTGTAATTGTGCTAAATGAGTCTTCCTTCTTTAAAGCCCGTATAGCAGCAATTCCTCCAGGGCCTCCACCTATGACTGCTACACGTCTAATAGTCTTTTCTATGTGTTCACCGGTCATATAAAACAGTACTAGAGTAAAGAGGAGCCCTAATTCCATCGACTGATTTTAAAAACCTCTTTATGCAACACGAACTAAACCATTATTGATCATGATAGATAACGCTATCCCCTCTCTTCAAAGCAGCCTTTTTTCTCATGATGTAAAATACAATTCAAAAAGTTGAGCAGACATAAGCATTTTCCATTTCATATATAGCGTTGTAATTGAAAAGAGTATAGCTTGAATGATAAGCTTTGGAAATGCAAAAGAATGATGTATCTCTGCCCTGCTATGCGTAGTCAGCCAATCACGCATGGTACAACGACAGAAAAGGCGTGGAAATTTCGATCAATTTTTTTTTCTTTACAGCATGTCTTACGGAAGTTCACCTTACACACAGCCACCACCTGGATATGACGAAGAAGCACATCAACCCCTTATGGGCTCTGTTGATGACATGTACAAGGAGACAGTAGCAAATAGCTCATTGGAAATAAGACTTCGTATGGTGTTTTATACATTAACCAAAAAAAAGTGTCTAAACCATTTGTATAGAATTTGTCAGAAAAGTGTATTCAATCTTGGCATCACAACTATTAGCTACTAGCTTATTGACCGCTGTATACATGTACAATGCCTCCATTAAACATTGGGTTCAGTCAAAGTAAGGAACACCTGTGATCACTACTCCTCTTTAACCCTTATTTCCTTAGTCAATGGTCGCTTATTCTATCTGTATTGGGCGCTCTGGGTGCTATGCTTGCTCTCTACTGGAAATCACGATCATATCCTCTTAATTATGGCTTATTAGCCTTGTTTACATTACTTGAAGGCCACGCAGTAGGAACAATAGGCAAGTGTAACAGATAAATACAGCCACAGAAGGAACTCATCTTTATTTTTTTTATATAGTAACTTTTTATAACCAACAACTCGTACTTGAAGCACTGCTAATCACTTTGGCTGTCTTTATTGGACTCACCCTATTTACTTTACAATCAAAATGGGATTTTTCAGGTTTAGCACCATTGTAAGTCATGATTATATCCTTTTTTCCTCTTTTCTAAATTATATTCCATAGTTTGATTGCGGGGCTTTGGGTATTGATTATTGCAAGTTTTGTACAGATCTTTTTCCCTTTCTCCAAGGGAATTCAACTAGCCATTGCTATTGGAGCTGTCATCATCTTTTGTGGATACATTGTGTTTGATACGTACTTGATCTTTAACAGATACTCTCCAGAGGATTACATTTTAGCTTCTATCAGCTTATATCTTGATATCATTAACCTTTTCCTCCGTATCTTGGAAATCTTGAATGCAACAAGTAACAATGAATAAACATTTCTTTTATTATAATCATTATAATACAGACACACACATATATATAATTTAGAGTCTGGCTCCTTCTGGGTATTTTTTCAAGGCTTGTCTGACGCCAAGGTCAGCCATGATTTCTTCACTTCCACCGAGAATAGCAGAGAACTTTTTCAAAAAAGAGTTAATATACTGTTTACAGTTTAGTTTGTTTCATTACCTTGTAAGTTCTTTGCAAAAGCTCAACGGTTCTTCCCATGCCTGTCTTGGTAATTGCACGGCCACCAAAGATTTGACAAGCTTCGTCAGAGATCTCATGAGCTACACGTGTAGATAAATATTTACACAGAGCAAGAGGGCCTGCCAATTTGTCAGCTTGTTCGGCATAGTCCATATTGTTCATTTGATACGTGATATTTTCTAACCAGCTATGGTAGCTTTCGAGTCGAGAGATCATCTTGGCCAACTTGAAACGAATGACAGGCTGATCAATCAATCGTTTGCCAAATACCTTACGTTGATTAGCCCATTTGAAGCATTCTTCAACCACTAGACGACAAGCCATGGATATACCGGTCAACATGACCCAGCGCTCATGGTTAAAGTTGGAAAGGACAACATAAAATCCCTTATTCTCCTTTCCAAGCAAGTTCTCGACGGGTACTTTGACATTTTCAAAGGTTACATAGGCGGTACCTGCACTTGGAGAATAAGACGTCTTTATCGGCTTAGTTTCAACACCTTCACCGCGTTCGATGAGAAGCATGGACATGCCTTTCTCGGTTTGAACAGCGACAGAAAAATAATCAGCAAAACAACCGCTAGTGATCCACTTCTTGACACCATTAACAATGAAATATTTGCCATCAGGCGTGCGCTTAGCCGTTGTTCTAATACGAGCTACATCAGAACCTGCGTAAGGTTCAGTAATAGCAAGAGCAATACGCTTTCTGCCAGCAAAAACTTCTGGAACAATCTTGATCACATATTAGTTGATGCGACACTTGGCCTTATCCTTACTCACCTTTTGCTTAAGGGCTGGAGAGCCAAAGTTAAGGACGGTAGGTAATGAGATAACCATGCCACCGCAGACACCGTCGTCAAATCCACGTACTTTCCAACGAGCAAATTCCTCATGAACAACCATCTATTGCTAGGTTTTAGATAAGTGTACAAGTCATCAGACTGTCTCCTTACCTCATGAAAATAATCAAACTCTTCTCCCTTAACTCCGCCAGGGAAAATCATGCCGTGAAGCCATGGTCCAGGGCCAATATTAGCAGCTAACAAGTTGTGGTCGCCAAGCTTCTTCAAGAACTCTTCAGGGGGCTTGGAACCGCTTTCTTCAAGTTCACGGGCCTCTGGTGCCATTTCATCAATGATCTTACGAAGAGCAGCACGAAGCTTAAAATGTGACTCTCTAACAACGCATATAGGTCAACATAAAGTCAAAGACTCGCTGTTAAACTTACTTGAAATAAGGTGATTTGAAGCCCATCCAAGCACTTGGTTCAGCATATGGGACTTTAGAAAATGCTCCAAATTCCTGAAAGTCGATTTGAGGCTTTTCGTCAGCGATAGTACCGATCTTGTAACGATCGTACTTGACAAGTACTTCTTGGCGATGAAGTCCATAAAATGCGTCAGTTGCATCTTTTCCTGCATATTCCAAGATGGGAAATGCACCACCAGGATGCATATCAACAAAACGACTCATATCATACACTGATGAGTCTATAATAATCCACAAATCATCTTCAGAAGCATGACGCTTTACCTCTTCTCTAGTAAAAGTTTTTAATGCCATAAATTATTTTTAGAAAGAGAGTAGGGGGAGAAAGGGAATAAAGAGAATAAAAGAAAAAAATATACTTTTTAAATGGTTCATAATTTAAGCTTACTTAAGATTTTATACAGTGTGGAAATTTCTCCGCCCAAAAAAAAGCACTGTCCACTGACTTCAAGGTTTGCTTGTTGTTACTGCTGATACGCGAGACACCCCTTGTGGAAAAAAGAGTGAAAAATCCTTTTTCTCACAATAAGTGTTTCATTGTATTATGTAATAAAGATTTATTTGACATGCTGTAACCATAACTACCATATTTGCTTTATCCAATGTTAAAGAATATTTTTTATTTGTTATGTGACAATATGATCAAAAGTAGAATTAACCATGGAATACAGGGCATTTAGGCATAAACTTTTCAGGTCCCAGCTCTTCGATTCGGTATCCATCTTTGTAAATTGGAGGGTCGTATACAAAATAATGTGGAACATACTTTCCTTGCTCATTTGCATAGAAGGGTGTCCTTAAGTCAAATACCTTTCTTGGAAGACATAGATATCGAACAAACCAAGCACGAAGACAGATAAGAGTATTGAATATGATACGCATGGGTAGAGAAGCAGTACTGATACCAAATGCATCACATTCTGACTTTTCAAGCAAACAAGGCAACATTTTGTAAACAACAGGCAGCATGAAACCAGGCAACTTCTTTCCGAGATGCTTAATAGTTGGATCAGCGCAGATCCAATTGGCAGGATGATATTTAACCGAAGATTCAACATATTCCTGTTTTTGGTGTCAATATTAGTTTAACCTTGATATCGCTTTTTTTTTTTAACTTACTTTTTGTATAACATACCACTCCTCCAGAGTGTCTGGGATATCCTTGATGTTCATTTTAGTCCCAATCTCATGCCATACTTTGAATATAGCCTAAAGTGCAATATTAAGACATCAGTTATACATCCATGGACTAACTTACATTAACTTCACGGATATCAAGCTTTCTCCATTCCCATTTATTAATCCATCGAAGAGGTTCAGCAACAAATAAGACAAGTGTATACAAATAATCTTCGTTTGAAATAGGATATTTTCCATGCAGTTCATTTAATCTTCTGATGGATGCTTCACGGCGCTCGTACTGCTTCATAATTTCCTTTTCACTTATATGTGGAGTAACTAGACGTTGATTTTCAATACGAGGATAAGGATCAATAATTTCAGACAAAATGAGTTCTGTATCTTCAGCTCGACGAGGACATCTGTCCAAGAATTCCCTTGTTGAAACCAGCAACTTGCTTACAGAAGGCGTAGCAAATGGCTTAAATAATGCAAATTCTAAAGAAGATCTTGCAAAAACTATACAGCGCGTTAGGAATAACACTTTATAAAGTTACATATGCTTTCTTACGTGGAAACTCTTTTCTGAATATATGACTGTAAATCTCCATAGCAATGTCATGGTTTTCCAACACAACTTTAGGGTCTGGGTATTTTTTGATCATGCTGTTAAGGTATTCGTAACGACGGTAGCGAACATAGACCAAGTATCCTGTGAATAAGAAAAGTGCAGAGGAAACGGCCATTGACTGAAAGCTTTCCGTAGCAAGATTTAGTAGGTCCATAATTTAGAGTAAATGAAGATGAAAGGGATACAGAACGTTATCATTATTGTGCATATATATATATATATGTATACACATTCATCGACTAGCGTCAGTCATACAGACCACTCCTTAAACTTTAAAAGCAGCTTTTTTCAGTAACACTGGCGGTAAGCTGCATAATGTCCATCACTTGACTTTTGCTTAAACTTGTTCAAAGAAAAAGGGGACTTATTTTGTTAATTGCAAAAATGAAGAAATAAAAGAGTAGGAAAAAAGTAGAATGCGCGCATATGTATAAAGTATGACTTCTAAAGCCCAAACACGGCTATTTGATCGTACGATTTGAGAAATACTTGTTTAGTTCTACATTTGACAAAGACAACCTCAGGGTTACACATTTGACATCCATTATGAGAAAAAAGGAAGTCGTGCAGAAAGAAGAACCTAAATGATAACTCGTAATATTTAAACTGACAATCTATTTTTTGTTATTGTAATCTTAATAACCCCCCCCCTATCCTTATCCCTTCTATATTCCCCTTTTTATTTTAAGAAATCCCTGCGCATGTACTGGTTAAAATGTTTTAGAAGGAAGGTAGAGAGTTAAGTTACGATCTTTTATGCAGAGATATACCACTGTACTTGCTTTAGATTCCATGAGTACTAGAATGGCACAATGTATTGTGACCTCACTTTTACGATCTGCTTTACCCCCAAAAAACATTAGCCATTGCTACCATAACTCCTTGAGCTAAATTTGACACTGTCATTATTATCAAACTTTGACTGACCTTCATGTAACACCGTTCCAGAACTTGATTGAATTACTTTAGAAATAAAAAAAAAAAAAAACCTGATGATCTTTTACGAGTCTTCATTCTGAATTAGACAAAGCCACTCACTTATGGATTGATTTGTCTTCTGATAAATAATGAGATTTATGTGGCAGAAATAGATCATGCTGGATTCATCACCAACAAGGCCTAAAGGTAATAAACAATATAAACCTCAAAACTGATATTGACAATCAATAGCAATGTTGTCGAAAAGACGACAGAAGATGCGAATTTTGACGATCGCAGCAATGTGGAGGCCGAGGTCAACATCGATAATCTACAGTACCAACATAAAAAATAACAGCTGGTACAGCCAATTGAAGGCAAACTGCTTACAAAGAAAGAGGGTAGAAGGCTGGATCGCTTAATCTTTATCTTGTTTGATGATGTTCATACCGATTTTATGCACAATACCGCAAGGATGGCTGCTAATATCAAACGTATGAGTTCAAAGACTAGAGAGGCAAGAAAGAGAATGATTGCAGCAGAAGAGATAAATGAGCTGTCATTAGAAGATATGGTGCAGAAAGTGTATATCGATGAAGAAGCTTGTTATATTGTCAAGTCTTTCACGATAGAAGTTGCATACAGTATTTCAACTGAGCAAGGAATGATGACTGTGTGCAATTGTATAGGCTTTCAACAAAATAGGTGTGCTTGTAAGCATATGTATTTAGTTTATCGTTTTGATAAAAGCTGTGCCGTTTACAGCCAAGGTAGACTGTCATGGCAATAATAAGAGAAATGCTACAGTATACTTACATTATCTAGAAATTGACTCTAACTTGAGAGTTCATGCCATGGATAATACTTATCCAGTATGCTGTAGAAAATAATGATATCGAAGCAGTTACTGAAAGCTCTGATGCGCTTTAATCAGAAGTACCATCTGAAACTAGAATTAGAGCGGATGAGTTGTTGACAAGCACCACGATTGTAGCAGACAAGCTTTAGAAAGTCGTATACATTTAGCTTTTGAAAATAACAACAGACTGTTACAAATATATAATGAATTAAGACAGTTGCTTTCAGTTAATGAAGAGATGCAGCTTCCACCAAATATAAAAATGCAAACGCAAAGAAAATAAAGCATAAAGTTCAAAAAGGGGGACAAAAAAAATCTACGTCATCAAAATGGCCAGGGTGGACTTAGTGTACTTTCAAAATCACTCAAATTACATGACCCGATTTTTTAAACAAATTTTTTTTCTTCTTCCTTTGCTGTTACTTTAAAAATGTACTCCAACATCCTCGCTCGTTCTGCCATGCGCTCTGCTGCTGCTCGTCGCATTGCTCGCTCTGATCTCTATCACTTTGAAAACACCAATGGACAAGTAATGTGTAAAATAGATGCAACATGAATAGATATTAATCCTGTTTCAATCAGAACATTCCTTTCAACACCAAGAACAGAGCTGGTCTTGCAATCAAGATGTCCTTGTACCTTGGTCTTGGTTTCGCTGCTCCCTTCATTGGTAAATAATTAAATGATTCGTGTGCTATATATATACTCAACTCTTTTTTATAGGTGCTTGGTGGCAATTGTAAGTAATTTTAATGCATTCCAAATATAGAATCGAAAAGAATGATTAACCCTTTTACAAATAGCTACAAGGCTGGTTAAAGTGTCTTTATATAATAATCTATACACTTAAATACGTCTTCTTATGCTGATAATAAAACAAAGGGAGAACAAGGAACATCTTTTGTACTAAACTGTTATACACAGAAAATATTGTTTTACAGGTTTTTAAAAATAAGTTAGACAACTTGTCATTAAAATTAGACAATCATACACAAAAATTTAGATAAATGTCAACAATAATGAAGCTAGACGCTTACAAGGTTTTTTGTAGACAAAGTGTCGGGATGATTTGTGAATGGTTAAATAGCTTTTACTCTGGGTACCTTCAGCGATAACCGAAGCGGAATCAAGTATGATTTGTTTTCTTTTGTTACTTTGGTGCTGTGGTCCCTTTTTCGTTTGTTCTCTTAATGTATCTCATGAAGCTTTCAAGTCGATCGCCTATCTCTCTGAGTGATAGCAATATCGAACGAAAATTTAATACAGCAGGCAAGATCCCTGTTCCAAAGCCTACTAGATTGTTGGGTCTTCAAACAACTTTGATTTTTACATCTATTTAAAACAGCATATTTATATTACTTTTTGTTGCATTCTTGATATATAATATCTTAAAAGACCATGTTGTTTAACAGTAAACATCTTATGTATTTCGAACGGCCTTGAATTTTTAACGAATTTGAAAGTTTCTAACCCACCGATTTCACATTCAGGACAGAGACTTGAGGTTCTATTTGCGTTCATCAGCAGAATAGCAAGAATTTCTTTTCTCAGCATTCGTCGCATTCCTTTCCCTCTAATCGGCTCATGATATCTGACACGACCAGTCATCCAACCACCCAAAATAAGAATCGCATCTTTACTAGACAACTTCAGCTTTCCAAAAGGCCATGGCGTAAGCTACAATCTAGGTGTATGCTATGATAATGTTACAAGCACAACCTATGATGTCGTCAACGAAACGCTTCAATGTGTAGCACCACATTAAACTTCTTAAGGAACAGATATCTTTTCATGTTTCTTGATGTAGAATGTGCATTTATCTTGCTTTGTTTCTTTGCAAGAAGAAAGAGATAAAACGTGGTTATTGCTGTATTTTAATTTTATGTTGTCAGTTTGATCAACAAAGAACCAAGGTCATTTAAGAATAATTTTATATCAAAGGATATCCCGCTGATCAGCCTTTGGTTAGGTGAACATTTTGATAATGTGAATTTGTACAGTAACATCACATGTAGCGTTCCAAGGAAGCGCCCGTAGCATTAATCTTCTCGTGGATTTCCTCGTGAGCATAGTGTATACCCAAAATATACCAGCCACACTGTATACAAAGTTTATCTCCTTCCACCACCAACATCCTCCCATCCTCACATATTATACACCTTCGCTTTGTTGAACTTGTCGTATAGAAAATACTGCGTGCCCAATTGGGTTAATAAAAGATTGCTTAATGGTATACAAAAGATCTTTTTTAGTCTCTGTGATGATCGCTCTACTAAAAATGAAGCTTGTCCAATAAAACATTTCAATGCTCTCTTGAAACTTTGCGATCGTCTCTTTTTAGGATAATTTATTGTTATCTCGCGAAACACCGACAGCCACCTTTTCTCACATCCCCTGAAAGCTAGCTATTTTTCTTTTCATCACCATTCATACTCACGCATACACATCTTCTAAAGACAAACAATAGGACATCTCCATCTCCCTTTTTTTGTTTTCTTTAAATATTTCGAAAGGAAAGACATAAAGATAAACTGTTCTTTAAAATCAAAAAAAGTGATAATCACAAAAAATAACTCTCTGTGAGTCATATTCAATGCATTTTATATTTAGTCACTCCGACGTAGCCTGACATCTCCAATTCAAGGGCATAAATAAGTGTATATCTAACATACAGATCAATTAAAATCTTTTATATACAACCTTGTTTATCATGACTTGGCGTCCTCTCTCTGTAAATATTCAATGCTTGATATCCTTGCTATTTTCTTATCAGTCTTTTTGAAACTTAAAAGTCCGATAGTAACTCTATTAAAGCAACAAGGTGAGAAACAAACTTGTCAAAAAAAAAGAACAGAACTCTTTTTTCTTCTTCTTTTTTTTTCTCTTTGTTTTCCTTCTTTTTGTCAAAGAAAAAGAATGCTATCCATAGCCCGAAAAACACTATCTACTGTCGGCTCTTTTTCTCGACATGTCCCTAAAAGATCCCTTGTGGTGTCTCAACGGTTTGTTACTGAAAGAAGATACCATGCTTACTCAAATCCAAACGCAGAAAAGGTATTATCCATTTGATATATATGTTCAATTTAATAACATCCTTCTTTAGGAAACTATCGTCAAGTTATTATACAACATTGGCTCTCGTAAAGAAGTTGAACAATATCTTCGCCATTTTTCATCTGTAGAGTCACAAAAATTTGCAGTGATCAAAGTAGGCGGTGCTGTCTTGACAGATGAATTAGAAACACTAGCCTCTGCCTTGACCTTTTTGCATCGTGTTGGTCTCTATCCAATTGTTCTCCATGGCGCCGGCCCTCAATTGAACAAACTACTTGAGGAAGCCAAGATTGAGCCTCAATATGAAGAAGGTATTCGTATCACCGATCCCCAGACGCTCGAAATTGCTCGTAAAGTCTTTATGGCCGAAAACCTCAAGCTGGTAGATGCACTCGAAAGACATGGTACCAAGGCAAGACCAATTCCTGGAGGCGTGTTTGTGGCTGATTATCTTGATAAAGATAAATATGGATTTGTCGGCAAAATCACTGGTGTGAACAAGGAAGTAATCGAATCCTCCATTCGTGCAGGTGCCTTGCCCATCTTGACCTCGCTTGCTGAAACTCCCACAGGCCAGATCTTGAACGTCAATGCTGACGTAGCTGCTGCTGAATTAGCTACAGTCATTGAACCTTTAAAGATTGTATTTTTAAATGAAAAGAATGGGCTTTATCATGGTGTTACTGGTAAAAGATTAGACGTAATCAATCTAGATGAGGTATTTTTTGCAATTATTTTGCTCGGCACAATCATTAAAACAGATATATTTCTATAGGAATACGAAGATCTTTTGAAAGAACCATGGGTTAAGTATGGCACCAAACTCAAGATCAAGCAATGTAAAGAACTTTTGGATGGCCTTCCTCGCTCATCGTCTGTTGCTATTATCTCTGCTGGCCACTTGCATAAAGAACTATTTACTGATTCAGGTGCAGGCACTCTGATCCGTCGTGGCCATAAATTGTTCAAGTACGATAACTTGGATCAGATCGACCCTGACAAGCTTCGTCGCATTATGGAAGTTGAAGACAGCGCTGTCCTCTCTGGAGAAACATCTGTTGCCTCTTATCTTCGCTCGCTCCAAGGCAAACAAGTCAATATTTATACAGACGAACCTGGCCAGGTTTTGGCTATTGTTACAAAGAATCCTGAAGACCCTAGTCAGCCTGCTGTTCTTGAAAAACTTTTGACAACCAAAACGGCTGTTTTGAATAACGTGCCCGAGAACTTGTGGACAGCCATTCGTAAGGACCATGATTGCTTAACTTGGAGAGTAGAAGCTAAGAGTAAGGAGGGTAATCTTGATCCCTCTTGGCACTTTGAACGAGCTGATGGTTCACTCAGAAACCCCAAAGATCAATCCACAACATTCTTTTATGGTATTGAAGACACAGAAAAAGTCAAGCAAACACTTACAGCAGCCCAAAAGGTAGCTACGCCCTTTGGTGCTCGGTCTTTTTCTACATTGAGACAATCCCAGCAGCGTCGCGGATATGCCACAACAACCCAAAAACTAAAGAACGTAGGTTTAATTGGCGCACGTGGCTACACTGGTCGTGAACTGATCAACTTATTGAATACTCACCCTCATCTCAACTTGACACACGTAAGCTCTCGTGAACTTGAAGGAAAATCTTTGGAAGGTTATACCAAGTCCGATTTGACCTACGTCAACTTGAAGCCTCAAGATCTTAAGGCACAAACTGAAGTCGATGCTTGGGTTCTGGCTTTACCCAATAACGTTTGTACACCCTTTGTAGATCAAGTCAATCAAGATGTCAAGGCTGGCGAATCATCTGAAAAGGTGCTCGTTGATTTAAGTGCTGATTATCGATTTGACGCCACATGGACCTATGGTCTTCCTGAGTTCAACCGTGAAAACATTAAGGGCGCTACCCGTATTGCCAATCCTGGATGCTATGCAACAGGCGCACAACTTTCGCTTCGCCCACTTTTACCGTTTCTTGATCCTCGCTCTTCTCCTACCGTCTTTGGTGTCTCTGGTTATTCTGGTGCTGGTACCAAACCGTCCCCCAAGAACGATATCAATGTATTGCATGATAACTTGATTCCATACGCACTTACAAATCACATTCACGAACGTGAAGTATCTTACCAATTAGGAAGACCAGTCCATTTTATCCCTCATGTTGCTTCATGGTTCCAGGGTATTGCACTCACAGTGAATGCTCCCTTGCAAAAAGAAATGACAAGCCAAGATATTAAATCAGTCTTTGAAGAATTCTATCAGGGCGAGAAATTGGTAAAAGTGATGGAATCAGGAGAACCATTAGTACGTGATAATGCTAGTAAACATTTCGTACGTATCGGAGGATTCAATGTGCACCCTGAGGGTAAGCGCGTGGTGATTACTACAACCATAGATAATTTACTAAAAGGAGCAGCTACTCAAGCACTTCAGGTAAGATACTAATTATATACCCTTTACTTGTTCTAATACTTTGTAGAACTTAAACTTGGCCTTAGATTTTGATGAGTACGCTGGTATTCCTATACAATAACTTAATCATCATATTACCTAATAAAAAAATTTCTTACTATTCATGCTGTACCTGATGTGCATTGATACAAAGTGACGTAGGGTTAACTTTTCGTAGATACTTTTTTTTTCTTTTTTTAAAAAAAAGACTATGTTTTTTTGCTTTACCTGTAAGTCTCTCTTTTGCTTGATGTAAACATAAACTTATTCTATATAGTTGGTATCGATCGTTTTAAACGTAAATCGAGAGGAACTGTTTGGCATTGTCCCAATTGCCAAGCTCATGATGTTTATCTCATAAAGTCCAACGAATGCTTCACTTTTTGCTTTGTTCCATTAATACCTTGTGGAAATACGAAACAACTTTATGAATGCCAAACCTGCGGTTGGATTAATGTCTATCAACCACTTGCTTAAAAGGAAAAAGAAATAAAACAGACCACTTTCATTAGTCTCTTTTTTTTCTGATTGCAAATTAGTATTGAATTTATTCTTCTTTTTTTTTTCAATAAAACCATTACTCATTCCTTTTTAGACGTCCTTCTTTATTATACATTAGTAAAGATGAACTTGTGAGATAAATCTGGAAAAAGAACACAACATGCTTAGCGCATGTATCGAATTGAAATGGAGACTCAAAATTATCTGATGCAAAAAGGCAACACTGTAAAGGAGAACTCTAAATACCCAAAAAAGTATTCAAGGCCCTTTCTCTACACTGAGAGAAAGTCCGACATCAACTTTCCAGATTGTGTCGAGCCATGAAATAATTTGTATAGCATCTTCTTCACTTTTCCTGAGTACGAAAGGTGGTCGTCGTTTGTAATCATCTTGTATAATCCAGTTTTCAGAATATTCACTGCTGTATTGGTGTCTGCTTTCTTCGTTTGAAAGGGTTCTTGATCTTTTACCAAAGAAATGGCTGTAAACAAATGACAAGTGATAGTATGAAAGGAATTCGTACTCTCTTCGTTCCTTTACTGGCCTAGCTTGTTGCAATAATAAATCCTTTTCGAATGTTGGCTTAGGGACGCTTAGGATAAGATTTACTTCTTCTTGCTGTGCTTGGATATTATTGATTATTTTCTCCATTAAAATAAGAACATATCAGTATTAACCCCAATAGTATTACTTCTGTTAGTAATCTTTCACTATGAGCTCTATGATGATAGAGATGTCTTACTAGACATCAGATGCAATCATCTGCCCTTTTCTTAAAGTATTTAATACATTTTCGTTATCATCTTTGAGAATAACCTGAAGAGGTGTGGTAACCATGTTTGTACACTTTGCTTGTTGGTATTACTGTTGTTCTGTGTTTACTTCCTTCTTTTTTGTTTGAAGCTTTTGATCAACGAAAAGCTGATCATACATTCTTTTCTTATTTTCTTCCACATATTGACGCCATGACAATATCACGGGAATGTATAGCTTTGTGCAAACATCAGATAATTGCAAGCGAATAATGACTGTACTGGGATTTGTATCGTCTGAAATAAAAGGCATAAGTGTTTATTCAATCCAGCATTTCTGCTTCGCTATCTTCTAACAAACCATTTGCTTGATTCCATAATTCTGATGCGTCTTTGTATACATTTAGCAAACTATTTTTTGCTATTTCCCTTTCCTCCAAGTCTTTTAAAGGCACTTCTTCTGTTGGACTTTCTTTTTTTGGATATTTTTTGTATAGGTTTATCATTTCTCGCTTTAAACTTGACTCGAAGGTTTGATAAATGAAGAACTGGCATCTTTCTTTTATTGCTTGTCCCGAGAGGGTAATAATAACGTCTATTAGGGATACAGAAGAACAATTATAAGAAAGAGAGGAAAAGGAAAATGGACAACAATGATCAAACTTATTCAAAGGTGGCTATAACCTATCCATTGTTGTTTAGTCTATTAACAACACTGCTAAAATCAGTAACTTTAAAGCTGAAATGGGGCGTCAATAGTGACACACTCTCTGATAAAACGAATGTTTTAATCTCAGGCAGCCTTTTTTTCTGTTTTGACCTTTATTTTGTTGAGCCTACAACGGCGAAAATATGAGATAATTATGGACCTAACAGCAATTGCCTCAGAAAATTAAGCAAACACCCTTTTGTTCATAAATAAGAAATACTAAAAATAATAAAGATATTCGTTGTAAAAGAATCGTATATTTCAAGTATCTTTTACAGAATATTCAAGACTGCATGTAACTCTTGTTACAGATGAGAATTCCGCCTTGTCTAATACGATTGAAGAAATGCCAAACGCTGCCTTTGGTAACATTCAAAGCACTAACAGTATGGACGAACGAAACCTGCATTTTAGCGAATTTGTCAATGAAGGAGAAAGGTATTGCCAGGTAATAAACAATTTATGTAAAGAAAAGCTTGCTTTGTGAACCCAGCAAGGCAAGTTGAATGAAGGGTAATACTAGGGGCACTGCAAAAGAATAAAATATTATTCATATAATTTCATCTAGCAAATAAACAGCTGGTTCTTATTTTATAGCTCGATTTAAACTTCTACTTTTTACTACCCACTGTAAAAGCATCTGACGTTAAAATAGACAGTAGGTTTGCATATGAAAAAAAGTTAGCAAGTAATGAATGAGGTTTATTGGTGTTGCACTTGAATTAAAAAAGCTTAACAGAAAAGACCTTTTTAAAAAATGTTTGGGCAACATCAGAAAGCTCCTGTTCTAACCTTGCCTTTGCATTTGTCTTTATGCTCCTGAGGGCAAGAGCATTAAGGAATCTATTAAATATCAATTAAGCAAAACGTCTACTTAATCATAGCAAAGCTTACTCTGGATACTGGCTCTTCTTTATGTGAATATCCATATGTCCAATATTGCATCTACAACTGAGGACTTGAGTACTGAAACCTAAGTATTCTTCGGAGATAGTTTGTATCTTGACTTGAAAGCTTATTTTCTTAATATCGATGGCTGCTTCCCCTGAATCTTCCCAAGGTGGTATACCTTCCACTTTCTTATATTCAAAATGAGGTACTTTGCATGCCAATGAAGCATTGGCACTATGTACATGAATACAAGACGTATTAGTCTGATTATAAATAATAAGAATATATACATACAACTCATAAGTGGTAATATCTTTTTTGTACAGCTTGCTTGCGGAATCATCTACTGTGATTATTATATTAGACCATGCACGCTTTGGAATAGCATTACTGAGGTCAATCTCCACGTCATTAAGCGTAAAATGATATCCGCCAACACCAAATCTAAATAACATAAAAAGCATAAGAAACCTTTAACGCTATAAGTGAAGTACATACACTTCCATATGTTCAATGAGCAAAGGCCCATGCTTCTCACATCTTGTCAAAGCTGTATTAGAAATAATGCATAATGACACTCTTTTTAAACTTACAATGCCGGAAACTGCTTCATAAGGAGAGAATAGTAATTGACTTGAAGTGTTGGATATTTTCTCTCTATATTGATAAATACTTTGCTGCACAGTTGCTTGATTAATGCGATTTGTAAGGGTGCAAAGCTTCCTTGAAAAGGCTCAAGAAGAGAAATGACTTTGGAAGTTGCTTCACGAGGGTCCCACACATAGGTGTCATTATCTTGTGTTTTTTCATAGATTGCAAACAAACACTTTGTCATATCTTTTACTTGCTCGTAAAATGATTCGGCGGTGACCTTGTTGATTTTTATGTTATTCCATATATTTTTTATAGACCTGTATGATATATCATTGTGACTTATAACCTCCAGCATATTTGACATCAACTGATTAAAATTATCCAATCCGCCTTGGTACACACTGATGCTTACACTTGCAGAAGCACTAGATATAGGTAACTTTAGCAAGGACTTTAAAGTTGTGGCAATGTCACGAGCATCAGAGTTAACAAGCCTATCCACGTTATCAACATTTTCTTCTCTCATTTTGACGAGAAGGTAATGTATACAAGTGATAAATGTCTCGACTGCGTCCATGTATGCGGGACTCTCAATTATATAATTGATGGTCGATTCTACAACCTCGAAAAGGTACATTTGATTGACAGACTCTATTATACATTGAGATTAAGTACAGCCTATGTATCATTAAACATCTTTTGTTTACTTTCGTAAAGAGCTTCGATAACTTGAGCTGACAGGCAAATATACTCTTGTAAATCATAGCACTCAGTAAAGGCGTGAGCCAATCTCCATCCAAGCGCATCGGGATCATCTGCATTAATCAGAGAAATTTCTATCAAACCAATTTTTTTAGCAGCTTGCAACTTCATACATTTACTAATACCGATGATTACCATTTATTACAGGTAAAGGATTCCTGTAATGTATTCTTCCATAAACGTTATTCCACTGAAGATTTCTGTCGGTCCTGCAGCGCTTTTTGCCCCATTCTTTCATCCAAATATCAACTGAAGTGTTTATGAGGTTTAAAAAACCTTGATCATCATGACGATTCGCATTGAAAATATCTTCAATATATTGGGCATATTCAGTCTTTGATGCAACCATACTTTGCTTCTGTAGCTCTCCAAGGATTTCATTGTTTCTGTAAAAATCTTTACCATTCCTATACTGCTCTTGATCGTCGTGAAAAGGCTCCTGGCTAAAGGGCTTTCTTATAACAGCATCGTAGCTCGTGTTCCTTAATGTGACATTTGAAATAGTACCCAGTTCCTCTGGAAGCGTCTTAGATGATATAGCCTGCTTTGGGGCCAACTCCACTGGTTGTATAATTTCTGTTAGTTTAGAAGGAACGCTTATGTTACTAGCCTCTTCAAGAGCTCTGTTGTAATGAGTATTTAGTAAACTGCTTTTTGTTTCCACCATTTCACACAGTGCTCACTTACCCAACATTATTGGGCTCCATAAGTAGGTCTTCACTATGAACATCTTTTATAATCATTTGAGGTTCATTCTCAGGAATGTCTGCATACTCCTGTACTTCTGTTTCTTTTGTAAACACTCGAGGCTCCTTCTCAAATATATCGTTATATTCCTGCTCTTCTACTTCTTCTTGTTCTTTTATCTCTCGCTCATTGAAGTTTGATTTTATATTTTGCTTTTTGGTTTTTCTTTTTGCTTCAGTATTTCCTTCTGGCTTTACGTTTCCCTGCAAATGGTTATTAGATTTGCATCAATTTTTTTTTAGCTTCTGTATACTTGTTTTGCTTGGCTCATTTATTATAGTAGCTATGAATACAAAAACAAAGGAGAACAGGAAAAGTATAAAAACGTTGCCTCAATGCACTTTTATTTTGGATAAAGTGATTAATATCAAAAACTGTTTATCACACTCTTTTTCAATTTATCATACTTCAAAAGGAGAAAAATAAGTATTATATCAAAGAAGGAGCATATTCAAACTGCTTCTTCTGCATTTTTAGTTAAATATATGATCAGAGCATTTGCTATAGCCATTTACACTGTTTCCTGTAATTGGCAATTAAACAAAGCCTTGTAAATTTTGGTTTTGTGTATAGATTGGTTTAAAATTTGGGTTGATTTAGTTGACCTATAAAGCTGTTGAATACGTTGATAATATGTCGCTATGTGGCCACCCGATCCTCTTGTAAGATCAGATAAGACTGTAAGATAACAGTTTATTGTGATAAACTTGTAGAGATACAATGAAGTTTTAATTACTTCAAGGGACTTGTATTTATTTGAGATAGTAGTATCAGAGATTTACCTTGGGCACAGAATAAAGTTTATTGATAAAAAATAAAGTAAAGTAAAACAAAGTAGGTAAAAATAAGTAAATAAAGTAAATAAAAAAGTAAAGTGAACAAGGAGAATAACCAGAGGTTATTTATATTGTTTCTGATATGGCGATTTGAGTTTCATTTGATGAATCGAAGTTCATTTCATGAGTTGAAGTTCGTTTGGTGAATTGAAGTTCATTTGGTGTGTTTCCATTTTCGGTAATTGGTGTAACAAAAGATATTTGAGCTTTTTCCTTACATCGTCTCCTTCGCACGTATTTTATTTTTAACCTTTGCGTAAATACCTTTTTTAATATATGCCAATTATTTTTTTTCATACACGTCATAATTTTACCCTCTTTCTGAAATTTATTTTTAATAAAACAGTAATACTGATCAAAAAAGGAAGCCAGTTGTAACAATCCAAATAGCGTGCAAAAAGGCATGACAAGAAAACTTCAAACTCCGCCAAAACCTAGTTGAAAAAGAACGTCACCTGCAGGATTCGAACCTGCGCGTCCAAAGGACAATGGCTTAGCAGGCCACCGCGTTAACCACTCCGCCAAAGTGACTGTTATTGATTTGAGAAGTGCTCTAATTATAATGTGACATTTATAAAGTCACGTGGCTGTCAGGTGATCATGGAGATACGTTCTTCCGTGCCTTGGTGGTAACTGATTGGTGGGATTGGTTGTACGGCAAGAAATTAAAGTACATGGTGAAGAAGTCTAAAGAAGCGCCGGAGTTCAAATTCAGAAATTTTACGTCACTGGAAGTTTGGTCTTTGAACTCCCGCTCTATTCAAGGTCAGCTCGCTTGGTTCTTCTTGTCGATCTCAAGTCCTCCTTCGTACAACAGCGCCCATTGTTTCGTCAAGTCAGTTCCCATACAACAGGTTAGAATAGTATCTGCAGGTCACTGTTAATTGAATTCGCCGATATTGCTTCTCTTGTTTCTCGGGTTACCATCTTTTTATGTTTTTATTTTAGTAATTTTTTTTTATTGTTCATTTTTGTAACTTCACGCATTCTAGACTGTTAATTGTAAAACTATAAAAGGAGTTGTTTTAAAGAAATAAAGAAGGATACATATCTCTCCCACACTTATAACCTCATCACTTCCGTGCTTGTGTGTTTATACTTGTTTTCTCTCTGCTATTTCTGTTTGTTTGGATTTATTTTACGCGAGTTCAAGCAATTGATAATGCTAGTGCTCTCAAATCTATCTCTTTCTGTGTTCTTATTCGTGGTTCCTTACAGCCTTGCTGCTAATAACCTTACGTTCTTACCTCATCGTAAAACTAAAGGTAAACATAGAAAAGGCAGTGGGAATCTGTCAGTTTTTGACACTACTGAGTATTCTTTTGGTTGTAAACTCGATTTTCGCGGCAGAATAATTTAAGCAATAACTTTCTCTTTTCCTTATTTAAAATAGTCTACTTATGTTGTTGTGGTTGCTCATGTTGTGCAGGTGAAGCTCCGGTAATTTGGAAGAAGTTGTAGAATTTCTAGATGGGGCCATCTGGCACATGAGTAGAAAATGGCAAAGAAAAATTCTAGACGTGGCACTTGGGGTGCATTGGGTGAGTCGTGACGGTGAAAGAAATAGGAAAGTCGAATGTCACGGCAGAGCCAGCGTCTAGGATTCTCTATTGTTTTTGCTAGTCATTTGAATTTTTAGAAGCTACTACTTTTTATGGTTTAGATTATCTGCCCTGATAGAGTAATCAACCAGGGTTACAATCCAAATCGATTTTAAATCAATTAAGATATGTCTGATATGTTCAAGTCGATTACGGCCCCTATCAAGCAACAAAGTATGAATGGCCTCCTTGGCGCAGCAAGATTATTTTGATGGATCAATGACGTGTTTTATGAGATAACATGGTTCTTCCGCATAATTCTCATAAGACACCCAATAGCGTTGGTTACCAAGATCACAAGTCGGGTAGATCTAACTCATCGCAATCTCATTCAACTTCCCCAATTCCATACTTGAAGATTCACAAGCGATCTTCCAAAACGAGAGAAAGTTTACTTCTTAACTCGAAGCCCTCTGTGCAATCGTCTACTGCACAATCCCATGTTGATAATCCCAGTAATCAACAAAAGAACATCGTTGAGACTATTCATATTGGTGTATCGCAATCGGCAGGTAGCCTGTTTTTTGACGTTTCTTCTCGTGCTGAAACGGTGCGGGAAATTTACATGGCAGCCTTCCGTCAATTCAACGATTTTGTCGGTCAACAGATTCATAGATCAGGCAATAATCGATTTTTGGAAGTTAATTTTGATATCGATGAGAATCGTGCCGCAGCCCTCAAGGCTGATTTGACCTTTAATGATGGTTCAGTCATTATAACATCATCCGTAGCAATGAAACCAGGATCAATGATTAAACGGGTTAACCTGATCGTCTGCTGCGGTTGCGCACCAACGATCTTATTGACGGTCTAAAGGCTACTTTTCAGAATTATAGAGAAATTCGCGACGTCGGTGTTGTCAAAGATGCCGACTCGGCACTTTTTTAGGTGCAGGCTATGTTATTCTTGACTGTTCTCCTGAACTTAATACTGATAATGATGATCCATTCTTGCAGCTATCACACATCATCGAGTGGGTAAATCCCGACAGTTCTAAGAATGGCAATATTTTTATTCATGCTTGTTGGAAGGATATGTCGACTTATTGCAAATATTGTCATGAGTCCGGACATTTTGCTTCTGAATGTAACAAGTCTCCTAGTGACAAGCGAGTTTGTTTTGCTTGCCTGAAATCTGGACATATTCGTGCCAATTGTCCCGAAAAAATCAAGCCCTCCAAGAGACGCAGACGTCATCCTGTTCCTTCGGATGCTCGTCTTTCATCTGTTGTAGAAAGTTCTGCTGTTGCTCTTTCTCCTCCATTGGAGGATTTGGCTAATCCGCCCACTATTCACTCGCGCGAGGCCAATGAGGCGCTCTCTCAGTTGTCCGACGTCGAAATTGATGTTGTTAATCCTAATTCGTCCCAGTCTGCAAAAGCTGAAGCCTGCTCTGACTCTTACGATCCTCCTTCTCGGCCCGTTAATTCCCTTTCAACAGACAACGACGTTGCGCAGGCTCAATCTGAAATTCTTACTTTGGAGACCACTAGGTCTGACTCTTCAACGGGCTCCCTTCCTCCTCAAGAAGAGTCTATGGATTGTAATAATGATGAAATTGCTAAGACTACTTTACCTGTTATTAATCAATCGGCCTGCTCTTCTAATGCATCTAAGTATGCCCCTCATCCCAAACACAATGCTAAACCTCCTCTGCGTTATGAGGATGATTCTCGTTATCATTAATTTTATGAATAATAGAAATCAACGTAGGCTATAGGGTTGCTCTCTTTAAATTCCAATAGTTTGTTTAGATTGAGTAAACCAAATTCATGAAAACATCTTATCCGGTACATACGTCTCAAACAACGTACATTTGTTACCTTACAAGAAGTCGACAATAGTCAGAATCCTTTAGATCATTTTAGTCTATTACACAAGCAGTTTTGTAGTTCTCAATCATTTTGGAATCAATATTGCGAAATAGTCAGTCTCGATAACCAATTTTATCTAGAACAAATCCCCCTTCCTGAAGACTTCCGTTGTATCCTCACTCGAGTTTCTCATGTTGATCAGGAAGTTTCACCTTTTTTCATACTAGGTTCGATAATGGACTCTCTTATCTCCCCATGGCAGAGTGGTTTTATGAAGAATCGCTTCATCGCTGGTAATGAAGCTCTAGTTAATATCGCGATTGAACAAGCTTCCATAAGAAGCTCTGTGATCAAGAGAAGGCATATGATCGGATCCATCCCCTTTATCTGAACACAGTTTTACAAAGATTTCGGTTTCCTTCCGCTTTTGTTAATGCAATTGACAAGTTGTTTTATTCCACTACTATGCGTTTGAATGTCAATGGGTTTCTTTCTCCAGGATTCAGACTCGGTCGCGGTTTAAGGCAAAGGGATCCCATTAGTCCTTTATTATTCAATCTAGTACTGGAACATTTTATTCGCTCTATTTTATCCGATGGAAGAATTCATGGCTCTGATGGTCCTTCACCATCCCTAAGGGCACTTTCTGCACCAGTACAAGGTCCTTCAACTCTTCCTCCGCTCAAGGTATTGGCTTATGTAGATGATCTTTGTGTTTTCTTCGTAATCAGGACGATTTACGAGCCTTTCAGGAGCTTGTACGACTGTACAATCTTGCGTCGAACTCAAAAATGAATTATGACAAAACTATTGCTTTCTCGCTTTCTGAACAACCGTCTCCTAGCTGGCGCACAATTATTTCCACTGCAGACATCAATCAGTGGCATGGTCGCACCTCTGACGAATCTCTGAAGTATTTGGGCTATCCGATAATCCACTCTCACTCGCAACGTCAGATTTTCTTGTCTGATTTGGCTGCCAGGCTTAAGCGTAGCTGCGATATGCACAAATGTCGCAACTTGTCTGTACGTGGACGCGCGACCGTGTTGAATACTCTTCTTCGCTCCAAAATATGGCACATGTTGCGCGTTACTTGGATTCCTATGGAAACTTTCGATAAAATTACCTCCATCGGCCGCCAGTTTGTTCAACATCACCACTTTCCTTATATCAGATACAGTGTATTGCTTCAACATACGCAACGCGGTGGCCTTGGCCTTCTTGATCCTGCAATTCAACAAAGCCTTTTCGCATATCCGTGGCTTACGCCATTTCTGTTGTCTGAAGCTCCTTCAGCTATTGTGGCTATATGGATGTCTGCTCATATATTAAGCGCAGCTTCTTTTACTCTACCAGACGGCCGTTTGCCTTTCTTCTTCCCTTCCTTACGGCAGGGGGCCTATTGCACCCTTCTCGTTCCAGCCTTTGTTCGCTATGGTTCCGCGCTTTTGACATTCTCCCTGGTTTACAAAAGCATAAGCTTTCCTTGGGGACGGATATGTCACAGCCCACTCCAATCTCAGCGTCTGTCTCTATGGTATTGCCTCTCTCTGAGGTTATTGATTGGCCTTCTGGGGGCCCTTTGTTGCTCAAGTACTCCTCCTACTCAAGTATTCAGGTGCAGGATGCTTTTATTTTCGATCCTCAACTGCAATTTATACGATGCAGACTAACAGCAGAAGAGAAACGCGTTGTTAAACGCGGACGTAACCGTGTTGTTCGATTGTATCAATTGTTAGACTTGCACTCTGTGTGCTTATCGCTTTTCCTCTCTCGTCTAATGTTACCTTCTCAAATTGGCTCACATGATGGTACTTTGGGTCAAACCCACCATTGATAATACAATTCTGCCGTTAGTTACTCCATTAGTCGATCATCAGACTCAGCTAATCCAGCCTTCTCACCTGCGAAACCTTATTCGTAAAGCATCCCTTTCGCAAGCTAAAGAATCCTCAGTCGCGCTAGGTAATTCAATCAGGTTTTGGAAAACTTTTTGGCGCATGGATGTCCCTTTGCCGGCTCGAAACGTTTGGTTTCGTTTGATTCATGGTAAGCTACCTGCTGCTTCCGATCTACATTAGATCGTTCCCTCTTTCTCTCCTTCCTGTCGTATGTGCAATTGGGGTTCGCCTTCAGAAACCACTTGTCATTTTTAATTGACTGTAGAAAAAAGTACCTCGCTTGGAAGCTCATTTGGGCCCACTTCTTCCCTTTGTCCCCGTGGTCACGCCATGCACTACTGCAGGCAACCTTACATCTTAATTGCCCTCTGCAGAATTCAGCACAATCTCTTGATTCCTCTAGTATCTTTGGATGCAGCTTGTTGATGATATGGAAGGCACACTGGCGTTTTATTTTTGATTCTACGCCCTTCGTGCCTACCTTGGTGCTTCAAGAAGCTATCCGAGTGGTGCAGCCGTTAACCCCTCCAAGGGCTGACAACCTCACTTTTCCATAGTTAGTATAGTATATTGATTTTATTTTTATTTTCTTGTACTTCGATTTTCCTAGTTCACCGCTGCCTTTGGTACGTGACTTATAAATAAATAGAATTTGGCTTTTATGCCCCTACCAAAAAAAATGCTTATATTATTATTGTTATACTAGTAGCTACTATAGTTGTTATTATAAGTTATTCTTATCAGATGCGATAGAGGAATGTAAAGTAGAATGTACGCTCTACTGTAAGATTATACTCCAGTTATTATAGTGATTATCTCATCAAACGCGTCATGCTTGCCATAACTTGTCATTGTGGGAGTCTGATAGGCCTGCCAAACGAAATATCATACGTTGAATTAAGTGGCGGTTGAAAGATAAGTATAGTATATAGATTGACATCACTTAAGCCCAAATGTCCCATTTCTTTGGACAAAGTACAAATAAATGATGAAGATCCTTTGTTGGTACTAAACAGAAGATACAGTGCTCAAATTAAGGCCTAGACGAGAACTTTGCAATTGTGCATTGACAATGAAATTTTTCATGTACCAATCTGGGCCATAAAGATCTGACTTCCAGAGGCATATCTATTCTCCAAAAGCTTTTCCAAGTAGTTGCTGATATTGCCAGTTGAGCTGATCTGAGAAATCGTTTCTGAATAATTTGGTGTCGAGAAGATTTCGAACTATACTGAGACCAGGAGGACGAACTGCGAAAAGCTTCAGACAATGGCTTAAAATCTATATTACCTATAGGCTGCCCATGAGTGGAAATATGATTTCATAGATTGTTTGTCAGTCGAATGATACGGTTATGAAAATCACAAAGCAACTTCTTTGGAAGATTAGGGAGTTATGGACGGTTCGGTCGTAGCATTGGTTGGAGACAACCTAACACCTGATCGAAGGTGAAGAAGTGCTCTATTTTAGCTTGCCGATGTCGAGGCGAGGCAATCCAGTGCTCACCTGGAATCTCATGGAATGCACATTTCAAAGGGAAGTGCATGATTGTAGCAGGAGAACAGGGCACATCGCGAAAATCTATCGAATTAAACAAATCTAACATTGAAAGCAGGCCATGTAAACTACCAAAAGTTTGGACAAAAGATTAAATTCGTAAAGAAGAGAAGAGAACAGGGAGTATCCAAGTCGATGTTGGCCCAGAAATCAAAGCCAGTTGATGCTTAAGAAGAATTCTACAAGAAGAAGTATTCTCTAGATCCATGACATAAAGCATCCAGCAGTATTGCAGCACGTGATATTGTGATAAAGGATCCAACAAACCTAACCCACCGTTGTTGTGAATGTTAAACGACTAGAAATAGAGGCTTTTGTGTGCTTTTTATAGACAGCATTTATTTTTATTAGTAAATTGTCTTTGATAATTATAGGATAATACATACTTAAAGGTTGATAAATTAATGAATATATTTTTATATCAGTTAACAGCAGTAAAAACTGATGGAGAGAAAAAGGATGGAAAGGCTTATATTCTTATTAAGTAGTTTTTTACTACTGTCATTTGGAAGCACCAAAATTTACTCGTACTACGTTTTTCTAATTTTTTGCATTTCCAAACCAGTTGTATGTCTGACATAAAGCGCTATATCGAATTGATGGCCAGCAGCTTTGCCACATAAACTGATACTCTATTGACTGTAGTCGATTGAAAAAAGCAATAGGAAGTCGAACTAACCGTAAACAGTATCATGTTTTGGATAGTACAAGTGTGTTAATCACTGTCACTCTGCCTCGAAGAGACAGCCTGCGTTGAGAGTGAATAGTACATTGAATACGTACCATCTGAAGTAGGTAGTCTTCGAAGCATCGATGTTGAGCAAGAGATTGAATCAAAGAAAGGCCCAGGTATCTCAGGAGCTCTGATGATGAATTGTCGTGCTATTTGATAATTTGATGCTGTTTTAAGAAGCGAGTCCATTCTGGCTGTGGTCGGCCATTCAAAGAAAGAGCCTCTGTTTTAGTCATATTCAGCTTAGCATTAGATACAGGACCATAGTTGGATAAATGGATTTGGACCCGATCAAGGTTATTGAAAGACTGAAGTAATACACATACATCATCTGCATAAGCCAATGCCCTGAGGGCTTCTGGAGAGCTGTATATCTCATTCCTTTCTTAAAATCTTGGAATAGGAGGAACGTACCCAATAATTGAACTGTCTTGGGTAATATGGTGTAGTAGTCCTTGCAAAGCAAAGTTAAAAAGAAGTAGAGACAAAGGATCACCTTAACGAAGTCCCCGTTCTTGAGTTATGATAGCCGTAAAATGCCCATTAATATTAACTCTTGTTTGATTCTGGAAGAATAAAGCACACAATATGTTGATAAGAGTTTGTGGGAAACCGAAGAATTCAAGAGTGTATCTGAGATAAACCGGATGTACTCTATCGTAGCTTTTTCTTGATCTAAAAAAAGCCCAATACTGGGGAGTCGTTTGACAGAAGCTTGTTCCATAACAATGTTTAAGATCATCTCATTGTTACCAGTGCAACGGTCAGCCATAAACCCCATTTAAAAGTCGCTTATGAGAGGTGACGCAACATCAGTTAATCTACTATTGATTATCCGTGAAAAGTTTTAGCATTACAGTTTATAAGAGAAATTGGACGCCAATTTTTTAGTAGAGACAGATCACCTTTCTTGGGTAACAGCCGTACACGTATATCATTCCAGGAACCCGGAAAGACACCTTTGGATAAGGCTTCATTATATACTTGAAGAACCAAAGATTGTAGTGGTTGAAATTTGAAGAGAAGATGAAGAAATGGATAACCAAGACTATCTGCCCCATGACTGCCAAACTTGGACATAATACGAGCGAATTGGAAAAGCACTTCACCCAAAGTTATGTCCACTAGAAGACCTTCCTTGTCATCTTTTGAAATTTGCGGAGGAGGTACAAGAGAATCAAAATAAGCTTTTACCTCTTCACTTGCGACATCGTCAAATTTATAGAGTGATCCATAAAATTGTTCGCTAATACAGCATATGCCTGGAGTATCGGTAGTAAGAGTATTTCACTCCGAAAGATCATTAATATACTGTTGCGCTGTACGTTGACAGTGCACTTGCTTCAAATATTTGGCTGATTTTTCACCTTTTTCTCGCCACCGCACACCAGCTTTGAAAGCAGCGATATCAGTAAGTTCCTGTTAGATGGTTTCAATTTATTGGTCAAATACTGGTAGTAGTTGAAGCCTAATAGCCAACGGAGGCTTGTTTCTAAGAAAGCAGTTTCGCCTTCGCCGCAGGTCTTTCAATGTTCTAGTTCTCTAATCAGTATGTTTTATGGCGTAGAAACGTACAAAGCGTTTAAATTCAGATTTAACTCTGTCCCATTAGCCTTGAAAGGAAAGCAGAGCTGACATAGTAGAAAGAGATTTTTCAAGGTGAGAGTGTAATTGACAACGAAAGTCAGGTATTTGATTTAAAATAGGGTTTGCTCGCCAAAGACCGGGCCCTGAATGTATCAAGCCGCTTTGGTCGAAGCATGAAGGGCATGATGATCTGTTCATTCAGCACGAAGTCTGTCAATACCCACATCACTGATCCTTGAGCTGAAGGAAGTGCCAACAAATATATAATCAATGGCGGTGAGCGTATTATTATTTCGTCTAAAAGCTGGTAGATCGACATAATCATCTCTTTGCATGACATCGTGAAAACCATCCTGCAGGATGAAGTCCATTGATGTGAAGTACTATATGGTGGATTGGAGCGTTGATAAGAATAACTAAAGTCGCCCATGATAGCGAGTCGAATATATCGTTGAGTACTGTGTCAAAAAATTGCCTGCGTTCCGGATTTGATGATGCAGGCGCAGAGAGAATTAGAACATAGAATGGTGTATAAAAATTATTTGGGTGTGTTATTTTCGACAGAATTGCTCGATCGAGGTATGGAAGCAAATTATGTGAGAGCATAAAGTTAGTAGAATAAGAAATGAGCTCACAGTGATAGGTTCATAGTGAATGTAAAGGTTGTAATTGCATATGGATTAATTCTTGATTCACATTTGTAACATGCGTTTCTTGAAAAGCAAAAAGATCGTGTTTCATAAGGCGTAAATATCTTAAATAGGATGATTATTTTGTAGGTGAATTTGACTTTACCAGACTATTACAGTTTAGTAAGGTCAACTTGGATAATAAGGTTTTGCTCTTATTAAAGATATTTCTTTGGGACACCCGTATTCCGAGATGGCTGAGCGTGGATCTTTACCTGTTCATAACAAACTTGGACTTGAACAATTCACGCAAGATTTCTTTTGATTTACTCATTTCTGTTTCAGTAACATTGTCTTCCATCAATTCATCATCTGATTGATATCTTCAGTATCTGATGTTTCCATATCAGAAGACTCAGTATTTGCAGACTCATTATTTGTCTGAGCCCCATATGAGTTAACTGTAGTAATATTTCTTGAGTCATAACCAGAGTTCTCACTTGAAGTGTTTTCAACATTGGACTCAGTTGCAGAAATATTCAAAGCCGCATAACCGTTACACATATCAGTATGGGTCGTGGGCTCATAACATATACCAAGATCAGTAATGTCACCATAAGGTTCCAAGCTGATTTTCAGTCCTTCCAACAGTTTGGGTTTTGTTAGGAAAGGAAGTTTGGATAGTCGAAGTCAAACGACATTAGCATTGTCATCAAGAGCACGCCAAGGAATTAAGATAATCTTGGATTCTTCAAAATGTACACCTGACCGGCTAAAAGAACGCCATAAGTAATCTTTATTCAAACAGAAGAAACCTAATTCTCTCTCTGCTATGAACGAATTATATAGTAGACAAGAAGGATGAATGGTTACCTGTATTAAGTGTTCCCTTTTTTGATTTATATTACGTCAAATGGCTTCATACTTTGTAATCAATGCATTATACAAGCCACTTCATTAGATATAAATGAATGCTATACAATATTTTCAGAAAGTAATGTCGCAAAAATTGAATTTTTACAATACAAAATATACAGAAATACGATATCTTGGCGCGGCATTAGTTTTTAAAAACACTATATCTATAGTAAAAATAGCACTTTCTAGCTTGTGACCGTTGGAAATGATACCGTCCCTGAATTGCCTACTCTGTGTCGACGGTGTAGCTCTCATTGCCGAACGCTCAAATATGGTTGACCTACTGCGATAATGCGAAAATCATAGCATACAAATGAGATACAAATGGAATTCATCTAAATGCGTGATCTTGGACAGTAGCACAGATCCAATTACATATATCCTTTACAATCAGCCATTACCAAGAGAAACAACTTTCACATACCTTGGCGTCCCTTTTAAACCGAGTGGGCACCTCAGTCTAGAAGAACTAATTCAACGTAATACCCGTAAGACTCTTGCAACGATGAACATATTGTCATCTGTTGGTGTGAATCCTTCCGGTTTCTCCAAACTTCTTTGCACCAGGTTTTACGCTCACATCGTTCGACCTCAGCTTGAATACGGCCTAGCTATCAATCACTTCACGGTCTCTCAACTTCACGCTCTAGAGGAAGTCCAGAATAATTGCAACAAGAAAATCTACGGTGCTCGAGACAAAGCGTCGACTAAGATTATGCTCCACATGTCAAGGCTACTCTCATGTCAGAACGAGTCAGTATACTACAGGCACAGTTCCTCTTTCGTTCATTATGTTTGCCAGAAGATACACTGCTTGCTTATCTGTTGCCTTATATCCGCAATACCAGAGGAAGCCAGTGGTACGCTCTTTCTCATATATCGCTTTGAAAAACGGTGCTGTCTACTACTGAAGAACCCGATACTCGCTCACTCAAAGTTGCTAAATAGCGTTTTTTGCTACAGAATCTAGAGATCCGCCAACGATGCCGAAACTCCAAATTGCTTTCTAGCTGCCGTCGATCAACCTCTCTAGATCCTATACTCTGGTTGCCCATGTCTAAGTCAGAGTGCAGTCGCTGTATACGCTGGAGATTAGGCTGGCTTCCTGGTGGGCAAACCTCGGTCATGTCCCAAGCACCCAACGCAACAGCTATCTAAGAATCACACTATTAGTTGCCTTGATATGCATCGACGTCTGTTCATGCTTGAAACTATACGAGATCCGTTGCCATTCCTTCTGAATATGCTTTCTTTATGCCCTTCGGTTCCTCCAAACCTAGCCCTCACCTGGTATCAACGATGGCCGATTATATGCTCCCTACTACATGAATTAGACCAGCTACACCATAACAAATTGATCTCTACTAAGTATCCCCATGGTCAAAAGTTCCTTGTGTGGTTAAAGTAATTCATTTAACTTTTCATCGATAACCCTACTCATTAATTTCCTTTTACATTTTTTACCCTTGTACCTATAAGGGGTTTTTTCGCTAACATTTACTTCCAAACGGATTAAACGGGTCCGGGCGGACGTTTATTATTTTATTTTATTTTTACGCTCATTTGGACCAACAATAAAATATCATGTTTGAACGAAAAAAAATAACACTTTTTTTTTCTTATGAGCAATTTATTGGCTGTAGAAGCTAAATTGGAAGCAGAGTCAAAGGCATTCCAAGCTATTCAAAAAGGTTTATTATATAATAGGCTGTATTCATCCATGTTAACTTGAGAAAACTATTAGAACTTTCAAAGGTCATAGAAACAAGACAACGTTTAGAATCACAACAGCAAGAAAATGAATTAGTGAACAAAGTAAAGATTTGTTTCGTCGCTCAAAAGAGCATGTATTAAACGTTCTATGATAGGAATTCGAACATCTGGACAATGAGAGCAACATTTATAAACTTATTGGTCCTGTTCTTGTGAAGCAAGAAAGAGCTGAAGCAGTAACAAATGTCAAAAATAGATTAAATTTGATTTCTAGCGAAATGTAAAAAAAAAGGAGAATGGTATCTGTGTAATGGCATTAACTGTTTCATTTCAGTAAACGCGTAGAAGCTCAATTAGCTGATTTAACTAAGAAGTCAGAAGCAAAGAAGCAAGAGGTATATTGATGACGCGCTAGGTATACTATTAATGCTTATTTATTCTTATAGATTGCAAAATTACAAATGGAATACCAACAATTAGCTGCAGCAGCAAAGAAATAATAAAAAAAATGGTTATAGGGTTAGACAGTTTTTTTTTATTTACAATTAAAGCCTCAAGTGGGCGCACGATAATAATATATCTTCTTCGCCCGAGGCAGATCAAAAAAGAATGAAGAATTAGTATCTAAAAAACCCTTATGAGATCAAGGGTAAAAAAATTATTGAAGAAATGATGTTGAGGCAAGTGTAAGATACACTAAAATACCTTTTTTAATATATGCCAATTATTTTTTTTCATACATGTCATAATTTTATCCTCTTTCTGAAATTTATTTTTAATAAAACAGTAGTTTTCTAATATCGAATATGTCGGACCACATCAGCGTAATCATTCTATCTTTTTCTTCTTCCTCTTCTTCGTCCTCATCTTCATGTTTTTTGTTTTTCAGTTCAAATTTACCACCTTTCGTGGAAGCTTTTGTAAAGCCTTGTAAAAGCTCAATCACAAGTGACTTATCTGATATACACAACTCTTTTAATGTTGCTTCTTTCCAATCTGATATTTCAGGGGTATAATTAGCAGTTAGCTCAAGTGTCTGTTAAATGTTAGTATTGTTCATTTGATCGTAGTATTCATTCTAACCTTGATTGCTAAATGATCTCCAACCGATGGTAAGTTGCTTTCAAAGTCAAGCTTAGGGTACTCTTCATAGTTAATTGGGTCATTAGTAGCAGTCGGCTCATTTACGTGAAGCTCATTTTCATTATTCTCAACCGCATTCTCTGTTTCTTGATTCTCTGATGTTTGTTCTGGCACACTCTCTTCAGTAGGATTTTCTGCATAAAATATAGGCGCGACTTCTTGCACTGCATATGTCTTTTGTGGTCGCTGATATTTTTGATTTCTTTTTCTAGTTTGTTCAGGCGCAGCTTCAGAATAAGTAACAAAAGCACGACCATACTTATTTTTAGGATCATTGTTCTGTTGAGTGTTTTCTGTAGCCAACTCAGCATCCAATTCGTCATATGTTTCAGCAGTGGGTCGACTTGAAAGTTCTTCAGGAAGCTCTTCTTCAAAGTGGATATGTACTGTCTGTTCTGATCGCTTTAAATGTTCTTTCTTCTTGTTCTTATTTTGCTTAATAAGATGTAAAGGAGGCGGAATGTCTTGTAGTTCTGTAGAGCTTGGCATGCTTATAGAAGGCTCATGATTTAAAAGCTGTTCCTGAACACTCTGTTCGGTCGTGTCCGCTTGTACGCTGTTTTCCTGATTCAAGGCAGCAGCTTCGCGGTAAAGTTTCTTTAATCTTCTACGCCTTGCGTTTCTACTTTTTGTCCTTTTTAAGCCTCCGAATGGACATGAAACTTTCTTGATTTTATTTTTTTCCTCTTGTTTGTTCTTCATCAACTCATTGACGTTATCTGCCAAAAGCTTTTTTAATGATTTCAATTTTTCATCCAGTTTCTTGCTGTTATTCTTCAACTTCTCTACTTTCTTTAATAGTTTCTTATTTTCTTCCTTATTCGTTACTATAGATGCCTTCTTTTTGGCCTTTTCAGAAGGCTTTTTATCCTTTTCAGTAGGCTTTTTTTGTTTTTTAATTGTAGGTTCATCTTTTTTATCTTTAGCTATAGATCATGTATGAGTAACAGTTGAATAGATTTCTTTTCTAAACTTGCCTTGTCTTTTCATAGGCGCAAGTTTCTTTATCTTTTCCACTTTTAAGCTATATTATATATACATGAGCAAATCGAGGGTTATGTAAATTAACGTTTATAATTACCAAAGTGTGTCTCCTTCATGAATGAGATCTTTTACAATGCAGCGAGGAAGTAAAATAAAATCATCCAGAGTAAGTACTATTTCGCTCGCCTCTGCTTCAAGACACAATTCTTTCAAAATGCTCTTTTGCAATTGATAAACAGTCTTTTCTTCATGGGCAGCAAACCAGCATCTCAAGCGAAGAGAAGGAACGACTAATTTAACGCGCATGTGTTCAAATGTAAAATATAAATGTAAAAAAATAAAAAAGTGACATCCTTTTTTTGCATAAATGTGTAGGCACGTGACTACGGTGACCTTTTTTTTTTTTTGTTTATTTCTTTTTCTCATATCATTTTTTCATAATTTCTTTCTGTTTCTTTGCTTTTTATTTTTATTTTTAAAAGAAGGTAAACAAGTAAAGTGCAAGGATAAAAAGTATTAAAAAGCCACAGTTAAGCTCTAGAATATGGATGTATGTAGTCATCAAGTGCAATATAATGGATTATGTGCTGTATGTGGCACTCTTTTAGAGGGGTAAATATAGTCATTTGGTGTAAATAATAAAAATAAAATAATATTGTCTATTAGTCTATCCGACGACGAGCATATTAATATGAGCTATGATAACATTGGACTTACCGTTAGTCGATCGGTAAAGTAAATAAGCTATGTTGGTCTGTATTGAACAACTTATATAACCAATTGGTGTAGGAGGCAGAAAGACTAGAAGTAGAAAATGCTAAAAGGCTTTTACAAGTTAAAAAACTGTCACTCATCTTGGATTTGGATCAAACAATTGTTCACGCTTCCTGTGATCCTCGCATCAGCCAATGGAAGAACCAAGAGATCCGTCGATTTACTTTACCAAGAAGCCCTATTGTATATTATATCAAACTAAGACCGGGCCTTACTGAATTTCTCAAGGAGATCGACAAATTGTACGAGTTACATATTTATACTATGGGAACTAAAGATTATGCAAAAGCTATCACAAGAGAGATTGATCCAAATGGATATCTATTCAAGGAGCGAATCTTATCCAGAGATGAAAGTGGCTGTAAGTAACACCAGACTTAACTAACTCATATGCTTACGTTATGACAGGTTTGACACAAAAAAAACTTCAGAGAATATTCCCTTGTGACACTTCAATGGTTGTTGTATTAGACGACAGATCTGATGTTTGGAGTTATTCACCCAACTTAGTTCGTATCAAGCCATGTAAGTTAGTCTCAGCCAATGCTTATTTTCAATGTACTCATGTATTTTACGCAGATGAATACTTTGTAGGAACTGGTGATATTAATAACCCAGCAAGGAATAAGGTAAGCTAGTTAAAATAAAGATGTAACAAGATTGAATGACTTGACAATGTTGTATGTAGGAAGAAAAAAAGCAAGAGGTAACTCCTGATGCAACGATAGAAACATCGGAGAAAGCAGAAGCGGTAGAATCAGAAGAGACAACTGAGAAGGCAGATAATGATGATGCTAATACGACTACTTCTCCTACTGCTGCTACCATTGATACTCCTGCCATTACTACAGCTGAAGACAAACTTAATGAAAGTAGAAATGGAGACACAAATAATAATATAAAAGAGCGCAAGGAGGAAGATCTCAGCATATATGATGATGAAGATGTAGAGTTGTATACAATGTTAAATGTACGAGCTTTTTTTATTTTATTTTTATGTCAATGTTGGAGAATTCTCAACTGTTTCTTTAGATATTAAAGGAGATCCACAGACAGTTTTACAAGAATCCAGACAAGGCAGATGTTACCAAAATCATACCCTCCATGAAAAGTAAAGTCTTAGAAAACTGTGTTATTTCTTTTGCACCTGATGTTATACCTGTATACCTCAAGGACCCTACACTTTCATGGATATGGCAAATGGCCACTTCCTTTGGTGCAACATGTTCAACTGATCTGACTGGCAAAACAACCCACTTGATTGCTGTGAAATGGGATAGTAAGGTTAAAGCAGCCAAGGAATACGGGCACTCAAAGATTGTGACGCCTACTTGGTTACTTGATAGTACAGCACGATGGAAGAAACAAGATGAAGAGATGTATGCCTTGCCAGATGCAGAGTTATCCGACATTGAAAATCCAGATTCAATTTCTTTAGAAGATAACCTCTTTGACGAAAAGGAGGAAGAGCTAATTGAAAATGTAGATTGGGACGAAGTAAGTAAAGAGGTAGACGATTTTATGAATGAGAGTGGAATTGATGACGATGGGGACACAACTGATTCAGAAAGTACAACACTTACATTAACAATAAAAGAAGACAGGTAAATAGAATTTATTGAAGAAAGACAGTGATTAATATCAGTTGTTTAGCCCAACGGATAATCTACACAGAAAATGGAAAAGAAAAAGAGAAGTAAATAAATCTTATGAAAGCAGTAATGAAGATGAAGACAAATCTAGACTAAAGAAGAGAGGAAAATCACAGCTATCCAAAGTTACTACACTAACAAATGATGACAATAAGGAAGAAGAAGACGACCATAATAGTAGTGGCAATAGTAGTAATAGTAGTAATAGTAGTAATAGTAGTAATAGTAGTAATAGTAGTAGTAGTAGCAGCAGTAGCAGCAGCAGCAGTAGTAGTAGTAGTAAAAGTGGCGCTACTAACAAACAAAATACTACTGAAAATAGTAACAATAATAATACTAGTACAGTGCATGAGCATAGTGGCAGTTCAATAAAAGATGACATAGAGGATGATGTTACTACTGCTACTAGTGACGATGACCTTGATTCACTTGCTGGTATACTTGACCAAGAGTTAGAATAAACAATAAAGCAAAAAGGGATCTACATACACACCAAAAGAAGAAACTCCGATGCTATTTTAATTGACAGTGCGATCATTTCTTTCCTTATTTTTGTTTTTAATTTTCCTTACTTTCTTTTTTATTTATGCCTTCGAAACATAGACAAGAAGGAGAGGAAAGAGAGCCACTAATGGGTGATTCCTCATCCTTTGATATCAAAGTGGATGACATTAGTCAGTTGTTTGACCCAAAGAGTGACGAACAGTTACAAAAGTTAGGTGGCGTTGATGCTATTTGTAAAAAGCTAAAGGTCGACCCTTCCTTTGGTCTTTCAGCCGACCAAGGCAGTAACCAAGATGCATTTAAAGAACGTCAAGAGCACTTTGGAAGAAACGTACTTCCTGAACCAAAAAGTAAAACCTTTCTTCAGTTACTATGGGCGGCTTATAATGATAAAACGCTTATTATGTTAAGGTAAATGACGTCAAAACTTACTCATGTATTTTCCCGTCTTACATAACAATACATAGTATCGCTTCTATTGTCTCGTTAGCTGTGGGTATCTGGGAAGACTATTCTCCTCGTCACCCAAAGGATGAACCTCGTGTAGGATGGTAGGCATTATTAAAAAGTATATATAATTTTTTTTCCGACATTTATCATTTTTTAGGGTTGAAGGAACAGCCATTCTCGTTGCTGTTTTGGCCGTAGTCTTGACAAATGCTATTAATGATTATCAAAAGGAGGCTCAATTTAAGAAGCTCAACTCGAAGAAAGAAGACCGTGTTGTTAAAGTATTACGTAGTGGTCGTGAACAGCAAATTAGTGTTTATGATCTTAATGTCGGCGATATTTTAATTCTGGAACCCGGCGATATTATACCCGTGGACGGTCTCTATCTTAAAGGCCATAATTTGGCTTGCGATGAATCATCAGCCACTGGTGAATCTGATACCATGAAAAAGAACGTGGAAGGCCGTGGTGATTGCTTCATTCTGTCCGGATCCAAAGTCCTCGAAGGCGTTGGTCGTGCCGTTGTCTTGGCGGTGGGTGAACATTCTTTTTTTGGAAAGACCATGATGTCGATGCGTGGCGATGAGGCTGAGGGTACGCCACTGCAAATGAAATTGGATACACTTGCTGAACAAATTGCCAAATTGGGATTTGCTGCCGCCGTCCTCATGTTAATTGCCTTGGTCATCAAATACTTTGTCACAGCTGCTTTGGCTCCCGAATTTCCACCTGTAGGTGATATTGCAGCCTCTATGATTAGTATTGTCATTCAGGCTATTACCATTATTGTTGTCGCTGTACCAGAAGGTCTTCCTATGGCTGTGACGATGGCTCTGGCTTTTGCTACTACTCAAATGCTCAAGGATAACAACCTTGTCCGTGTCTTGGCTGCTTGTGAAACCATGGGTAATGCCACTGCCATTTGTTCAGACAAGACAGGCACTCTTACTCAAAACAAGATGACTGTCACACACGGTACTCTTGCTCAAGAAACGTTTGAAAAACAGGATGATGTGAAGAGTTGGGCAAATAAGGTAGACAAAGATCATGTTCTGTCTTTACTGTTTGAAACTGTTGCCGTCAACTCGACCGCTTTTGAAGACAAAAACGAGCAAGGTCAACTTGAATTCATTGGCTCCAAGACTGAATGTGCCTTGCTGGGAATGACCAAGGCTTTGGGAAACCACTATGAGGACGTTCGACATGATGCTACCGTTGCTAAAGTTTATCCATTTGCCTCCAAAAGAAAGACCATGACCACCATTATCCAGACTAAAGAAAATTCAGCCCGTACCAAGACCCAGTCCGATTACCGTGTTCACGTCAAGGGTGCTTCTGAAATCGTTCTCGAAGGATGCACAAAGTACTTGGACAGTAATGGCGAGGTACATAAGCTTGATAAAGAAGCTATTGTCAAGTGGAACGGTATCATTTCTAGTTATGCCGACAAAGCGCTTCGTACCATTGCTATTGCTTTCCGCGACATCTCCAAATCTCAATACAAAAAATTGAATGATGATGAACCACCCATAGAAGAATTAACATTGGTTGGTATTGTCGGTATCATGGACCCTCTTCGTCCTGGTGTGGTCGAATCTGTTTCTGCATTTAGACAAGCTGGTGTCTTTGTTCGTATGATAACAGGTGATAATCTGAACACGGCAAAAGCCATTGCTCGTAATGCCGGTATCTTGACTAAAGGAGGTCTTGCCATGTCAGGTCCTGAGCTACGTAAAATGTCAGTTGAAGAGCAAAGAAAGGTTATTCCTCGTCTACAGGTCTTGGCTCGCTCATCTCCTCAAGATAAAACCATTGTTGTTTCTCGTCTTCAGGAACAAGATCAGGTTGTTGGTATGACTGGTGATGGTACAAATGATGGCCCCGCTTTAAAGATGGCTGATGTCGGTTTTAGTATGGGTATTGCTGGTACAGAAGTCGCCAAGGAAGCGTCTGATATCATCTTGATGGACGATAACTTCAACTCGATTCTGAAGGCTCTTTTATGGGGTCGCGCTGTTAATGACGGTGTTCGCAAGTTCTTGACTTTCCAATTGACTGTTAATATCGCTGCTGTCGTCTTATCCTTTATTTCTGCTATTGCTTCAGAGAATGCAGAAAGCGTTTTGAGTGCTGTTCAACTTCTTTGGGTAAATTTAATCATGGATACCTTGGCAGCCTTGGCACTTGCCACAGAGCCTCCTACAAATGACTTACTGCAACGCAAGCCCATCTCAAAATATGCACATCTTATCAACTATCGTATGGCTAAAATGATCCTTGGACAGGCTATTTTCCAAATTGCTGTCAATCTCATCGTCATCTATCTAGGTGGACCTATCTTCCACTTGCACGATTCTGAGTACGATCAAAAGGTACTCAGAACAATGGTGTTTAATATTTTCGTCTTTTTACAAGTATTTAACGAAATCAACTGCCGACGTATCGACCAGACCTTGAACGTGTTTAAGGATATGTTCGACAACTGGATCTTTATCGCAATTCAAGTGCTAGTTATTGTTGGCCAATTCCTTATTGTCACTTTTGGTGGAATCGCCTTCAAAACCGTGCCTCTCTCACCTCAGCAGTGGGCAATTACTGTTGCTATTGGTGCGCTCTCTCTTCCTGTCGGCTTCATCATTCGCTTGCTACCTGACTGCGGTGGACGTAGATTTAACGAAGAAGCAAAGCCGTTGGCCTCTTACTCTCGTATGCATTGGGAGGGTGCTATAGGTGAGGTGCGTGAGGAACTAAGGGTGTATTCTTTGCTCCGTCGTCACCGCCGTACAAGAAGTCGTGAAGTGCCTCCTCCACAGAGAAAGCAAAGGTCTATACCTTCCTATGGCGCAACGGAAGAAAGTGAGCAGAACAATAGGTTTGCTCAGCTAGTAGCCAATGCTAAAAAGTTTAAGCAGGCAGCCGAGGATGCTGAAAGAAGACAGAATGGAAATAAATAATTGTGTATTTTCTACTCTGTAAATCATTTCTCTCTCTCTTATCCTTTTTAATTTTTATGAGCGATTCTTTAAACACAACTCAGTTAATTGACTTGATTGAGACACAATTAGCACGATCAGCATGCTCTAAAAGCAGTACATTGTCATTTGTGAAGGGATTCATACTTGGTCAACTTAGTGTGATCATTGTCATGATCCTAGTTCTTCGCTATTTGTTTACCGAGGATGTTAAACGTGTCAAAAAGGTAATTGTATATTCAATACGATAATAAGCTAATGTACCATTTAATAGCGATATATACCTTCACGTCCATCTTCAAACACAGTACCTTCAGTTGCATCAGCAGCAGCAGCATTGCCTAATGATCATGTTACTCTAAAAACATACTACGATGTCATCCACCATCCACCTGAAAGCACTGATTGGCTCAATGTCTTGCTGGCTCAAGTCATTCTACAATATCGGCAGGATGCCAATATCAATAACCGTCTGAGCCGATCTTTAGATAGAGTGTTGAATGGGGGTGTTCTACCAAGCTTTGTTGGACCAATTCATGTTACCGAATTAAACTTGGGGCAAGAGTTTCCTATATTTAGTCGTGCACGTATTAGACCATCAGATGAAGTAGGATCCATGGTAAGATAGAGCCAGAAAAAGAGAGAAAGAGGATGGTGGTTTACTTGCTTTAATAGAGAGCAGAGATTGATTTTGAATACAACGATCAAGTCACCTTGGGCATCGAAACACAGCTTATCCTAAACTGGCCAAGGCAAGCATTCGCTGTTCTGCCAGTGTCTCTTGTCCTTTCTGTCGCTCGATTCTCCGGCACGGTAAGATTAATATGTGATTTTATATAAAGATGATATAACTCATTATCTAATAGCTTACTATCGAATTGATGAATCCACCAGAAACAACGACTAAGCCAAAGATCCCAATTGAACGATATATTGCCATTTCATCTTATTCAGATTTCATTCTAGACTTACAGGTTCAGTCATTGATCGGATCCAAAACTAAATTAGAGGATATTCCCAAGTTGACAGACTTGATACAAACAAAACTAAGAAACATGTATATTGATAAGTTGGTTTATCCTCAATTCTTAAAGGTTAAAGTACCAAATATGTGGAAACAAGAAGAAGAAGAAGAAGAAGAAGAAGAAAGCACAAAAGGTAGTATGGTACCATTGTAAAGAAATAAAATTACACCTTTCCAAACACACGCTTTTTAATTCATTTTAAGACATGCACAGTAGAAGAACTGGGATCTATCATAAATACAGTTTTTTCTACAAGTAATGTCGTATAATTCGAGAATTTATAATGCAAAATATACAAAATACGACATCTTGGAACGATATTACTTTCTGGAAATAGTGCAAGGTTTTAATTGAATCATTCAGTGGAAGGGTGTACTATTTTTCATAGCTTGAGCGTTTTAATGATTTACGATGAATCTCTCTGGATAATGGACTATTTGCGTCAACAGTATTATTGTTACAGGTTTTTAGAACCTGGACACTTGAGCAGTTGTGCTATGTAGGTGTGTCTGCCTTCAAAGTCAAAGCAGCTGATTTTTGTGCCATTGTTGTTAAGGAGCAAGTTGATATCATATATAATACATGTGCTAATGCGAGGATTTTTGCTCTGTTGGTATTTTAGTACATCCCTTGATACATTATTTCTTTTGAATTCGTTCGCTTTTTTGTGATGTTATCGAATAAATAGTTTTACCTCGGAAACATAAGATACTAGTAGATAGAATAGGTCTCTTTGTAGTCCTTTTATTAGCAGAGTAAAGAATGTAGTATTTACCCTACAAATACTTAATCGTATGAAATTACTCTAAATCTATATTCTAATAATGAATAATACAAAGAAACTGACAACTATGCATACTCTAACAAGACGTGTCATGCTCAATTCTCATTGGCCGCGTAATAATCCTGTTTGCATTATGGACATACATCTACATTTCTTTATTGTTCAAGGCATATCACACTGACGTTCCAACGTATGTGTTCATACCGCACAATATTTCCCCTTTTAATCGCATTTTTCAAGAGAACATCTGTATAATGTCTCAAAAGCTATTGCTAAAAGACTGTAATTTAAATAAAGAAGCTGACAACATTTAATCTTACTCATTCTCCTTAGTAAACATTTCGACAGTGGTGAAATGTTGCTATGGTGAAGATACTTTTAGACAAATAGAACATTACTGTATTTTTATTAACTATTGACGTTAATTTTATAAAATATTGTCGTAAAATTAAAAAATCATTTACGTAAAAAGACGACAAAGAAAAATACTTTTGAATAAAACGACAGCATGTCAAAAGATATATATATAACGAGTATATGTAGAAAAAGAGAGAAACAGTATGTTAGTATTAATGCATATATCCTAATATTAGTTTTACTTACCACCAAGGTGCATTCTGGGGAGGGTAGCGATAGCTACCCAGGATAGTTTAAACAAAAGAAAAGGAACGGAGGACTGAGAGAACCCAGGGCGTCAGAAGAGACAATTGAGGAACGCCCTAGGTACACGCCAGAGAGCAGAGAGGGCAGGACAAGCGAGTCAGAGCAAGGACCATGAGGACAGGCTAGTTTTGATTGGCGAATCTTTGAACACTCAGAGGGACATTTGATAACTGCTGTAAAGAAGCAAAAAAAGGACTCTTTTCCAAACAAGCTTCAGGATCGAGTACCTGAGATAAAGAAACCATATCAAATAGAAGCAATCTATATCGTGACCATTCAAGGATATGCATTGCCAAATATGACTACATGTTCTGATTTTATGGAAAGGCCGAATAAAGAATTTAAACTTTTACAAAGAGACTAAAGAGGGCTATTTCTAATAGTAAGTTAATTTCAACTCCAAGGCAGCCCACCTGTTAATATTACTGTCAAATGGAATAGTGAGCCATATTCTCTTTGTATTTGTTATTACTCTGATAACATTACAACGGTTTCAATACGGCATCTAAATTTGGAAAGCACGGCATTCAGTCTCATTATTTTTTGGAAATACAGTGAAGGTAAAATAACATTATTTATTTACAAAATAGATAGGACATAAGGAGCACGTTATATTTTTATTATATCGTTTTGGCCCTGGCCAGTTCAAGCTGTGAATCAGTATCTAAAAATCCCTCTGGGCTCGAGGGCAAAAATGCTTTGGCTGACAGATTCACGGAACAAGTGTTAAAAACACTGCTATGAAGAATTAAATAACCATTTGATCAGTTTCTGCCTTGGGTCAGGTAGTGATGGTGGCTCTTTTTCATGGTATAGGTAATCAAGCTCATGCAAGGTAGCGCAGATCACGGACCATCTGATAGTTCAAAGCGATCTTGTTTGAAATGAGCGTGGTTTTCGAGTGGGAGGTTTATTTAAAAGGAGGGACAGAAGGTCAGTTATAGGCTTCGTTATTTGTAGACGGTGACGCATGTCGAGGCAATAGATGGCATGCTGTTTTGTAAGAAGCTGTGAGGTGTGTCGAAGGCAGCGAGTAGTGTCATAACTGGGCAACAAACCAAGACGCCACCGTATGCATCGGCTTCTTTCTAGCCCTGTTATGGGTAACCAAAGGATTGGATCCAAAGAGATTGTTGGGCGACACAGCGAGAGCAGATTTGAGTTGCGTGCAGTACGTCGCTGTTCTAAGTTGTCTTGCAGGTATTGCAGATGTATCTTCTTTAATAATCATTTGTCTAGTATATCAGTATATTGCGCACAACGTTTCCACAGTGGCGTTTTTGATAAGTATACCACTGTGAATGACTTGTGGAGAGGCGTATATGTGGAAGTAAGTAAGTCAGAAGCGCATTATCTGGCAATGACAGAGATCGTAAGAGGAATTGAGCTTGTAGTATATGGGCACGCTCTGTCATAGTCGGCAACTTCGTCAGTTGTAGCATTACTTTTATAGAGGATCTGCAAGAACCACCAAATATTCTGCGTAGGCACGTATTTTGAACGTCTTCCAGTTTGTTGAGCAAAAGAGAGCTAACCTTGCTAGTAGCAAGACCATATTCTAATTGAGATTGGACTATTTGTTTGTAAAAACGAGTAGCAAGCAGTCGGCTGAGACCATTAGGGTTAAGTCCAATCATAGCTAATTGATTCATGGTCGCTAGTAATTTGTTTATGTTGTTAGCAAGAAGCTCGAATATATTTAGATAACTTCCAGGACGAAAAGGGATTTCAAGGCAAGAAAAGGAGGTTCTAGTCGGAAGTGGGTCTCCATAAAGGTAGTAATTAAGCGATTGATCTGTAGGGTTTAAAACTACACATTTGCTAGGGTTCCTCGCGTTTGTTATACGGTTAAACAGTTTTATTTATAATTAAAGCCTTAAGTGGACGCACAATAATAATAATATATCTTCTTCGCCTGAGACAGGTCAAAAGAGAATAAAGAAATGGTAACTAAAAAACCCTTATGGGATCAAGGGGAAAAACGTTATGGAAGAAATGATGTTGGACCAAGTGTATTTTACACTAGTGAGGGGGAAGAGAAGGCGGATACTTTTGGTGATGGAGGTAGTCAAGTTCAAAAAGAAAAGTGCAGATAGCTGGCCAACGGATGGTCTATAAGGGAGCGGTTTGAAAGGAGCGTGGTTTCTTCGAAGGTAGCATATTCAAAAGGAAAGATAATGAATCTGAAATTGTTTCGGGCATCATAAGTCGGCGGTGCATCTGGAGGCAGTAGATGGCGTGGGTTTTGGTGAAGGATTGGTAGGGGTACCGAGGACAGGTTTTGTCATGACCACTAGGAAGCCAACCAAGACGCCAGCGTATGCATCGACTTCTCTCAGACCTGGCGTTGGCCAGTTATACACTGATGCCAAGGGTAAAATTCGCGCTTGTCAAATTCTAATGCCACGTTAACCATTGGTCGATTTCGCTTGCTGACAAATTAAATGTCGTATATATAGGAGCTTTGTCGTGTATATGAAGCATGAAAACACCGTTAGCTCTTCTTTTTTTTTTTTTATTTTTTCATTAAAAACCGAGTATTACAATATGTGCTTTCAAATTTCCTATGAAGATGGGCACGGTAATGCAGTTGATGAATACGGTAGACCTGAGCATATGGGCTATATCATTGATGAAGAGCGATATGCTTTAGAAACAGTTAGCTCACACACTCAGTATTTGCATAATCAGCCTCAGGAGAATAATTTCGTTGTAAACCCTATGGCAGATAAAAATGCAGAAGACGACCCAGATGTTTGCATGAAGGAGGCGTCGAGTAAGCGAGTGTACAGTTTGCGCACAACCAGCACACTACTTCGTCTATTTACAGTGTCACTATTTTGCAAATTCACTGTCCGAACAAAAAACGTGATGTCATATTTTGAACAATGGTTGTGCGCGTGGTAGTGCGCCAAGAACTGTCCTTTAAAGTAGTGCACATAATACAATTAAATGGTTGTGCTTGATACATACCCTGACCATTTGGTCGATTTTGCCCAATGCTAGTCTGGATTCTTGAAAATTTCTATTTTCTAAGCTTTGTAAGTAGCTGTTTTCGTTCTAAGCAAAGCATATATAAAGCGGGTTAATGAGTAATGGTGGAGACGCATTAGTAAATTGAAGAGTACCTCTTGACGTGTTTGATATGAATCATTATAACAACTCAAATATAGTCTTACAGTAGAGCATACATTCTACTTTAAATTTCTCTGTTATATCTTATGAGAATAAGAGTACTGATAACAATGGTACATAATCACACTAACAACAATATAAATAGCAGCCATAGATTCTCTACCCAAGTAAACTCTCGCACAAACTTAATAGTATTCAAATTGATTACGTGGGACTGTATAACTGCAAAGGGTTCTGGGTATAGATGCCAGATTTACAATGGTGTTATGGACTCTAAGGTTTATCAACATGTTCTTGGCACTACATACATGGAAACACTGGACTACTGTGGTTTTGGCAAGGCACAAGTTTACCTTCAGCATGACAATGACCCAAAGTACAAGTCAAAGTCAACTTAACAATGGTTAACAGATAACAATATACGACACATTGACGGCTAACCCTCTCAAAGCTCTGGTTTGAACCCAATGGAACACGTTTGGCATCGATTAAAGCTTCGTCTCAGTTCGTACAGTATCCATGTCAGGAATGTCGATGAGCTTTAGGAAAGAGTCAACAGAGAATGGAACAGCTTCGATGGAGGCCTCTGCAGACATTATATTGATGGCATGCCAGCAAGAATGGAGGCTGTTATAAGGGCCAAAGGCGAGCACACGTCGTATTAATAAACATACCATTTTTTTTAATCTTTAATTTTTCGCATACAGAAGACACTCCACACAGGAGTATTCTTTTATATCTCACTTTCTTTCGCTGCCTGCGATACACTCGCAATAACGTACAATTACTATATTGAAAATGTGAAAGTGGCAAAGATGAATACAAGATCCACCAAATATTGATTTGCAAAAGATGTAATATTTTTTGGAATCGTGATATGGCCGCTAAAAATGTTTACCATTGCTGAATCCATATGGAACGGCAGTGATCGCTCTAATGTTTTTCAATGACAAAGCACCACCTCCAATATGGTTGCCGCGTCTCATTCCGATAAGACGATGGCTTAAAGTTACCTGCAGGTAAAAAAAAAAAAAGAAAAAAAAAAAAGAAAAATCTCATTTTCGTTTGTCTGAAGTGCGAACACTGTAGCCTTTACAAGTGAACATTTCATTCTCAGGATGTGACTTTCACCCTTTCTTATAGACGGAGATTAAACTACAGCGAATCAATTGCAGTCTGAAAGAAAATTTATTTGGGTCATCGCTTTTGTTTTTTCTCTTTCTTTCCTTCTAAACATGTATAGACCTCCACCAGGCAATTTCATACCTGTATGTGACATGTTCTATTGATTACAACAAATAAGCTAATATAAAAAAATAGTTTGCACCTAGACCTTCTAATACACCATCACCTGTTAGCAACAGTCCATATATCTCACCTACTGCCTCACCATGGCAAAGACCACCTGCGTTATCCCCTGACCCATCTGTAAGATTGTTTGACGTAATCATATTTGTTTACTTACATTGTATTTTAGACTGTCTGGAGAGAACATCAAACACCCGAAGGTAGAAAATACTGGTACAATAATATAACGAAACAAAGCACTTGGGAAAAGCCCGAGGAATTATTAACACCCGAAGAAAAGGTATTGAAGGCTTCATCTTGGAGGGAATATACGACGCCTGAGGGTAAAAAATATTATAGTAATATAAAAACAAAAGAGACTGTATGGGAAGTACCTCCAGAAATAAAAGGTAAATAAAAGGGATATGCTTATATACATCAACCATACTCAATCCATAAAAAAGAACAATTGGAAAAAGCAAGGAAAATAGCTAATGAAATGTAAGCAAATAAATAAGGGAAAAAAAAAGATAGATTATTCACTCTTTTTTTAAGGAAAAGTATACCAACACCACCAATTATTCCTACCAAATCAACACCGCCACCTGTGGCTCAAACAATAGAACAACCTATCCCTGAATTTGATACAAAAGAAGAGGCTGAAAAGGCATTTTTTGGCTTACTTAGAGAAACAGTGAGATAAATCCTATACATTCTATATCTTGACACTAATTCCTTTCTTATTAGGGAGTAAAATCAAATTGGACTTGGGATCAAGCCATGCGTGCGATTATTACTAAACCACTCTATCGCGCTTTAAAGACAATTGGTGAACGAAAAGCAGCCTTTCAAGCCTATATAGATGCAGAAGCTAAGCGAGAACGTGAAGAAAAGGAAGAATTTGAACGACAACAAAAGGCTAGTTTTATGGATCTACTTATTCGTCACAAGGACATGATTAAACCTTATACACGCTACACTACTTTTGCTAATCTATTTGGCGATGATCCTGTGTTCAACAGCATCAAGAGTGAAAAGCAACGCGAAGCCTACTTTGAGGAATATGTGCAAAATATGCAGCGAGCCGAAAAGGACAAATTACGCGATTTACGAAAGAGTAGCATGGAACAATTCAGCCAATTACTTCGCTCTATTCCTGATATTACCTACCGTACACAATGGAAGGAAGCTCAGATGCTCTACATGGAAAAATTACCAAACAAAGATTTGAAACAAGTGTTTCAAGGTATGGATATGCTGGATTTCTTATCTGTATTTGAGGAATATAATAGATCATTATGGGAGGGACCAATGAATGAATTGAATAAGAAAATGACTCAAAGGAGAAGAAGGGAGCGCAAAGCTCGCGAAGGATACAGAGTATGTTTAAATTAGATATTGATGATACGTTACTCATGCCTTGATAGGAGCTTATGCAAGAATTGGTTGCTAATCATAAAATTAATGTACGTACGATGTGGAAAGATATTTATCCTCTTATCAAAGATGATTCACGGTATCTTGAAGCTGTGGGTCTTCCTGAATCGACTCCTTTAGATATGTTCTGGGATGTCGTTGATGACCTTGATGAGCAGTTGTATCAGCAAAAGAAATTAGTGTACGATGCTTTAAAACGAGCCAATTTTGATGTCACGTTAGAGACATCGTTTGATGATTACTTAAAGACGCTAGATGACACTGTGACGTCTGAAGTAAATCAAGAAAATCTTGTGTTTATCTTTGAACATTTACAGTTAAAAGCTGAACATAGATTGAAAGAAGAAAAGCGAAGACATGAAAAGAGGCAACGTAAACGTATGGACGTACTTCGACACGCACTTAAGAAACTTCAACCGCCTATTCAGCTTGAAGATACCTGGGATAATGTTAAATCAAGGATTGAAGAAATGGAAGAGTATAAAGACTTGGATGATGAAAGCTTGGCTCAAGAAGCATTTGAAAAGTTTATGAAACGACTAAAAGAAAAGAATGAAGAAGAAGACGATGAGGAAGGTATGATAAGAGAAGGTGAAGAAGAAGAAGAATATCACAGTGTTAGTAGCCATCATCGTCGTAAGCGAAGAGATTATAGTGTAAGTGATGGGGAAGAAAGAACAAGGCGTAGAAAAACCAAACATTCGGGTTATGGAAGTAGTACAGAAGAAGGTGAAGCACTCGATGCTTATGTCAAAAAAAGAATGTAGTTTGTTTATGTTTACTATCATTTGAATAAATAAACAAATCTTTAAAAGCACGCTCTGTTCGGAGTTTTATATGAATAAGCAGCCACATTTGACTAGCCAATGAAAAATTTTCATAAAATATGGTATAAAAGTTTAGAAAGCTACTTCTGACGACAGAGCTACTTTTTTCTATTTCTTACTGTTAATTGTAATAGTTTATACTGTTTACAACTTTGCACACATAACTTCTTAATACTGATATTCCACTTTTTTGTGCGTGTGTGCACTGCGTTAACATTACAATATACATATACAGTAACTATATTTTTTATATTTGACGGTAATATTATCTTTTTCTATACACAAATACTGCGGAAGCATACCTCTTCTTTCTCTTTTCTTTATTGCTTTTTTTTGTGTGTCAGTATAGAGGACAAAGAAATTTAAAAGGGGAGGCTCTAGTTTATCTGCTTTCATTGTATTTATATATATCCCTTTTATATTTTCTTAAGATAAAAAGAAGTCTTTAAGGAGATATGTATATCTAACAATTAAGCACTAAAACTAGTGAACGGAAAATACACCAAAATAAACGTAGTAATGTGGATGAGAAAAAAAATTTCCCTCCTTCCTCTCAGTCTCATACAGTGTGCCGGGAGTACTACAGGACGGAGAGCTCTGGCTATAGTCGTTGAAATAGAGTAAATATTTGATCCAATCACGTCACTGCATGGGTATTACAAAGTATGCAGTATAGAGCTGAGGTTGAGATTTCATTATGACAAATTGCATAAAAGAGAGAAAAAAGAAAGGAAGAGGATGCTTTGTTTTGAATGGATTACTGATCTGTTTGTTTTGTCTATGTTAGGAATCATATTTGGAATATGACACATAATAGTAATCAAGCTTATCTTGGTAAACACACGTTTATAAAGCAGTAAATATTGATTTAACTCTTTATTTTTTTTATATAGATTCAGGAGGTAAACATAGTTCATTGTAAACCCTATAGCTATCTTATATCTTTTCCATATGATTCAGATATGTTGAATCTGTATGGCATACAAAATAAAGATGAGTTAAACATGTATCTTCATTTGATCAAGACTGCCTCTCCTTTTGAGTACATGGATTGCCTCCTCAAGACCAACGAACCAAATATATTGAGCACACTTGGTGAAAGTGAAGTAGTGGCTACTGTATTAAAAAATGCTATGGTTGAAGCTGGAAGAACAAATGATTCCGAGCAGATTAGAATTGCTATAAAGGTACACTTTAAAGCAGTGGATAAAACTAACGTACTAATCATCTTAAAAGGCACTAGACACTGTTCCTTTTTCTTCGGAGATATTAAAGAACTTTGGATTAAAAACTACCTTTAGCAATTTTATTAAAGGAATAAAGGGCGATAAAGAAGCATGGCAACATGCACAGAAGCTCAAGTTTAAATGGATGGGATATGATCAGCCATCTAAAGGTACTACCTCATATGATAGCATGTATGCTGCCACCTCTACTGGTTCAATTAATGCGTCGAACGATGATTATGATAAAATGGGTATGCGTAGATTAATGCGTTTTTGTTATCTTTATTAAACTCATATGATAGGCTTATCAACAAATAAGCCAAAGCTAAGACTCGCCATTGATAAGGATCCTCCAAGAAATACGGTCACTAAACCAAAAGCGTTACAAGACACCAATTTTTTTTCAGGGTTATTAAACAATAGCCAGCCAAAAGGTTATAGGATACGTCCTGCTGTACCAAAGCAACCACCTGCTTGGAGTGTTTCTTCACAAGCATCAAGTGGATCTACTGCCTCTCTAATGAATATAAATAATAACATTAATGGTAAAGATGCACACACATATAAAACATATCATGCACTAATCTTGCTTTTCTTCCCCTTTAGCTAATAATAAGTCTAAACCAGTCACTGATTATAAGCAATTGTCTAATGGTACACAAACAATGCAGCCAACAAACAATGATCGTGTTTCACAAAATGCCGCCATTACGTCTACGAAGCCAGCTATAACCAAAGCAAAAAAGAGAGTTCAGTTCTCAAGTGACTTATGTCAAGTCAGAGTGTATCATCCTGATCCAGATGAATGGAGCGCCTTTGTAAGTAAACATAAATAATCCAATTACCTGTTTATACCAATTGATGCCATGATATAGGATGCTTCAATTGATGATATATTCGAAACCTTTCCTTGGCATATGCCTCCAAAGTTAACTTTTGAGACAGTCCCTGAGCCAGTGACAACACGTCAACGCATTGAAACAGACGAAGTTGTATACCATAAAAATCGAGAACGTAGAGTATTAGCTGCAGTGTATATTATGGAAAGTTATATTCCTCCTTCCCCAGCTGAACCTGATGAAGTGCCAAACCCAAATGACAATGTTCCAATCATCCCCACAGATATGGAGGATATTTGTGAATCATCCAGCAATCAACTGCATGTAGAAAAACCAAATAATATACCCCAACAACAGCAACAACAACAATCAGTCTACCAACCAGTCATTCATCAGCAGTACCACCAACAGCCTTCACAAAATCAAGTTTCTCAGCAACCGTATCAGCAGTCATATCAGCAACCGTATCAACAACCGTATCAACAACCGTATCAACAACCGTATCAGCAACAGCCGTATCAGCAACCTACTTATGCTTCCTATAAGCAAAAGCAGCAATCTTCACATGTTTCATATCAGCAACAGCAGCCTGTTCAGCCTAATTTAAATCGTAAACGAGCAGCTGACTCTGAGGACATGATTCAAACCATGTTGGATGCACATCCTTGGTAAAGTTTATAAAGTATTTAAAATAACACACAAGCCTAATTGATCTCATATAGGCTAGCAAATTCTTTAAAGGAATTATCATTTTTACAAGGAGATGGTGAAGTGGAAAAGGTATAAGCTTTGGTGTTTTATTATTTGACCTGAACTAACCAGACTTTCTTTGTAGATGACGCCTTCTAAAAAGCAACGGCAATAGGTCTGTTTTTTATTTTTTATTTTTTATTTTTTTATTTTTGGTTTTGTTTGATTAAAAGTTATGCACATATACAAATATGATTTAGACTTTCACTATCTTTGTGGAAACAAAGCAAGGTGGGAGCCTATGTAATAACAAGTTATTAATATGATTACACAATATGCCATTCATTTTTTATTGCCATGCTGTAAATATACATTTTCTTTTATTTCATTAAAAATACAATTTATATTTATATATTCCATTATCTATACTTTAACCAAAGGGTTCCAACCTGCCCTCATCACACGTAAAACTAGGCAGAACAATCCACCGATGGCCATGAGGAGGCCACCCCAGACAGCAGCATAGGTGTAATTAGGAGGTTGTGATCGATTAATGATGGCCGAAGCAATAGGTGTGCCAAATAAATAACCAAACGTGTTTGTAAAATATAATAGGCCATTGGCTGGAGTAATGTTTTCGTAGCCAGCGACTTGGGGTAATGAGGCAGGAAACAAGGTAAGGTAACCAGCCCCAAAGAAACCGTACAGGACGGCAAAGACCCAAATGGTAGCCTCTGAATGAGCGTTTGTCCAGATACATAGCGAGAAGATACCAGATAAGAACGTACACAAAAATAATACATTTACACGACCAATGCGATCACTAGTGAATCCATTTATCAACTTGGACACTGCGTTAATAGCGGACATAATAGCGGACAGGTTTGTGCCAATCCATGGGTTTAAGTGCAATGAGTTTGCATAGGAAGGTAATAAAAATGATGGTACCTGCATTAAGCGAATCATTAGATCAAAGCTCTTTCTCTTCTCTCTGTAAGAGAGATGTTCTTCACTATTGTATAATTACCAAATAGCCAAACGTGGTAATAAATCCAACCACAAGCAAGATGTCAAACTGAAAGTTTTTCAGTAGCTCTTTCTGTCTCAGTAACATATTCTTCACACTCTTTTCTTCGTCCTTTTGCTTTCTATACGGTGCTCTAACAAAGATTGTTGCTAATACCAAAAAGAAGAATGTGATAAACCCGGAGATGCGAAGAGCCCATCGGTAATCAAGTGCTAAAATGACAGCTTGATTTATATTAGACATGATTAATCCACCTACACCTGATCCACACATAGTTAGACCAATAGCTAATCCTCGACGACTCGAGAACCATTCTTGAGGAGCACTAATACATGGAAACCACACAAATGAAGCACCTAAACCAAACATGACGCCTTGAGTCAGGTACAGATGCCAGATCTATGAACGATGAGTCACTACTACAATGATATCTATGACTAGCTTTACGTCATGACTGATACTAGCCAACATGAGTGCCAAAGGGCATAAGATGGTAGCAATACATAGCATCTTTGTGTATCCCAATTTACAAACTACCCATTCATTGATAGGACCAATGATAAAAAATAGAGCAATACAGATAGACCCAATCCATGAAAGCTTTGTCATTTGGTTGACATATACGTATTGGTTATAATGCCTCAAGAACAAACCCCAAGAGTAATTTACTCCATATCTAATATTATAATAAGTGATTCTACTTTTATAATTCAATTCATTCACTTACATGGCAAACATGCCCTGGAGGAAAACAAGGGAGAGATTATTGTTTTTAATATAAATTTTTAAAAAAAAGTCTTATCACTTACACAAAAACAACCAAATACAACTGACCACGCAGCTTTACCACCATTAGGTGCATCATCTATGCCTACTTCTTCAATTGTTTTCTTATGCTCGCTTGGTTTCTGTTCCATGTCCCCCAAAAAAAAGAGAGAGAAAAAGGAAAGCGAGCTTGATGGGGAGGGGGGAAAGAGGATATCTAAGCAGATCACCAAAAAAAAAAATCAAAGAAGTGTAACATCATTTTGAGTCCCCGGTGATTGGCGATGTATCGCTTGGCTGTACCCCAATCTTATTTTAAAATGAAAGAGATCAAGGTCTCTTTTATTAAAAGATCTTCATGATTAAACGTTAACCTTCCTTGCTAATTCACTCATCATGTCTAATAAATCCTGTATTGTAAACTCCAAATGTACACCAGCATCAGGATAACATTGTCTTATCAAGCTTTCCATTCTTTCATGCTGTTGAATAAATTCCTCTTGAATACCACGCCAAACAACTTGTAGTAGCCCTTCTTCTTCCGAAAAATGCTTATCCACACGCTTATACAATTGTTCCAAAGATTTCTTGATTTCTTTAGGAGGATACATCATGATGACCTTACGTAATTGTGATTTGTTGTAATTCATATGGAATGAGACCTCTTCAGGGGTACTGCTTGTTCGTGTCATTGTCTCGACACCTTCAAAGAATTCTAAAAGTCTTCCAAGTGGTCGACGAATGATGACACGGATATAAGCATTCAGACTATTATCATATTGAGACTTGGCATGCTTGATCCATTTCTCCAAGACATGTAACTTGTTTGTACGCAAGGTGTGGTACATATGGTGCATATTTTCTATTATTTGTTAGTCTTTCTTTATTTTGCTTTTATTCCACTTACCAATATACATTATGGTTGCATTTAATTGCTCTTTGTCATCTCCTGTCTGATCGCTTTCTCGTGCAATACTATCTAAACTTGCCATCATGGTCTGTATTACCTTTTCATACGCTTCATTCACTACAGATCGCGTTGCTGACTCTGGTTGAACGTGAGCAGCTGCAACTTCTAATCGCATAGCAAAGAGAGGGAACGTCCTGAAGAAGCTTAAAACGCCTCTTCGTTTCTTGCTGCTTACTTTTATTTCTTCAATAATTCGTGTTTGGTCGCTGATAAAGCTTTCAAACATACGCATCAGCCGCTGAGACAAGGAAGCACATACTTTTAGAGCAAACTCTTGATCAGAGCCTTCCCATTTTTCTTGTTGATATTCGACAGCAGCTAACATGCTCACAGCCAATCTAGAAAAAAAAAAGGTAAGCAGTTCTTTCTTTAGCTACAATTATGATGTACTTACGTTGGATCAGATTTGACACCATATTCTAAAAGACTAACCATGTTGGGCTCCATTGTTTCGAAAATCACTTCCATCCATGATAAAATCTTTTTTGATATTTTTACATCTCTGATCTTGTCTCGACGACTATACAGGTCTGCCTTGTTTGGTACCTGTGAGTAAACCATACCACGTTCCAAGAATGATCGTGTAGTCGCCAGTTCAAACAGGTCACTCATGTAGTTCTGTTCTCTACAAATAAGCATAATAGCTTGATTCATCATTTGTCCAAAAGCCTATATATATGATTTGTATACTGGATTCCAAGTATTACGTGAATTTACCTCATCTGCAGCCTTCTCATCTTCGTCAATGCTAGATCGATTACTTGATGCGCCATCCGTAGAACCACGCAACATATGACGATACCGGTGTGGCTTCAAGTTTTCGGTACCTAATGTAGGTGCATACGCTAATGCACGAGCAGGACGAGATTCCTCAGGTTTAAATACTATACAAATATGAGTGACATGATATATTTTCTGTTTGTTCTACTTACAGTACTCGAGCTCATCGACATCCCTTTTTCTTAATGTTGTATAAAAACCACGTATGGTCTCAATCAGTTCTCGTATATCGCGTTCATATAATGGCGCTACTGCTTGAGCATAGCACTAGAAAGTAAAATGAGTATAAAGAAATCATTAATCTCTTCTTTATCTCACTCGTTGTAGTTCATTATACATCCTTGGCTCCATTTCCTTTTCCCAAAGGTTGAAGCCTTGGAACTTTATCAAGTGATTTTCTATTGTTTCATGAGGTTGTGTAGTAATTGATAGTGTTTGGTTTTTCCTGTTCCCTGTAGGTGAGGATTTTATTCTCTTTTCTTGATATAATCTGGCCTATTTTTAAAGGGTTTAATTAAGTTGGTACAGTTATATTTGCTATTTACCTGTTGTTCAAATTGATCCTTTAAAAACTTGAAAACTCGTTCACTAAACCGATTTCCATGCACGTTATATGCCTCTAATCGTTCTTGTACAGCAGCCAAGTCTTGTAATCCATCAGGTAGCTTTGTCTTTAATATCTTTTGTAGTGTCTCTGCTGATTCTTGAATGCGAATCACATCATCAGTTGTATCCATTGGATCAAATTGCAAGCTATCCAAACATCGTTTGGGTATAGAAATAGCATTCTATTATTATGCATAAGTATAAGCATAACACAGTAATGAATACTTACAAGTAAGTTATCAAGCTCGGACATGAGTGCCAGCTGATTTGTGTTCAATATTTGAAGTGCTCTATTTTGTATTTCGATTTCACGTATATCATCTCCCATACTCTATGTATATTTGTATTAATAGTATGCTCAGCAATGTATAGCATGTATAATACATTAAGCTCTGCAGCATAAAGCGATAACCAGCTTTCCATTCTATCTAGTTCAGCTAATGATTTGTCGATATGATCCACAATAGATCTTACTCTCTCATCGGATTGTATGACAGCATGAACATTGGCCTATACGTAATATTACAAGGTACTCTACAGACAGTATCATTAAGACTTACAGCTTCTAGCGCATGTAATTCACCCAACAGTTGTTTTTCAAGCACTGCCGCATTTCCATTTGCTTTCCAATTGAAATCTATCAATAATTCCTCTACATTCATCAAGAAAGCACGTTCAGCTAGTTTATTCTGGATCTCTTCTGCCTTTTTTTGTCTCTCTATCATCTTGTTAGCTTTCTTCTTCTTCTTTTATATAAATGGCTCTACCCTTTTCTTCTTGAGCTTTTTTCTCTCTCTTTTCTCGTTCTCGTTTTGCTTCTCTTGCTCGACGTTCATCATTTACTCTCGATTCGTGCGTCTCTATTAATAAAATTAATATTATTTTCATGCTTTTACATCTTGTGTACCTGTAATAGATGCAGAAACAGGGGAAGTAACTGTAGGGGTTATTGGTGAAGATATCTTTGGCATAGGCGAAATAGGCGTTTCAACTAGATGGCTGGTGCTGGCTGTAGGTGAAGTAGAGGGTTCATCGTTTAATGTAGGTGCAGCAGGATCAGCCAAAACTTTTCTTTGCATATTAAATTTTCTTGAATCTAATGATAACATATATATCAACTTACATCGCAGGATACGTGATTCATCAATATTGACAAGTTTCGGCATACGACTGGCATAGCGTCTACAGAACTGTCTCGTGGTTTAATATACAAGAAAATAAAGATACTAAACAAACTTTACATCTATTAAAAAGGCCAAAAATATCATCTTATCTTTGCTCTTTTCAACCGCCCACAGATATACTTTGTTGAGTGTGATGGAGAATTGATGAGCCTATTTTTTATATGTGTGTGTTATTGTGAGAAGGCTCAATATGACTGTAACTGCTTTTGGTTTTTTACATCGACAATCTGAATTTGTTTAATGTCATCTAGTGCCCATACTTTTCCAATACTAAATGCCCCGTTCTGGTTTCTTTTTACTTTTGATAGTCGTATTGTATTCCTTTTTTCTAAAACACAGTGAATAAGAGACACATGTATTCAAACCAAACTTACGTGATAAGCATAAATATCGAGGTGTTCCTTTAATGTCTTTACTTGTCTCAGAGGACTGAATATCTTTATATGTTTTAACATGGATAATCAGCTTCTCTGATGACCCTGGAGGAAATAAACTTGTTATAAGTGCTTGTCTTATGCCGTCCATATGAGAAGAGAGAAAGGAGGAAGAGATGGATTTACAATTTTGGATTCAAACGCCTATTGAATTCATCATTCATACTGTGACTTTGGCTCCCCTTTTATGTCGACACCCAACTGTCTATGTGTGTTCTTTAGATATTGGCTATCTTTTCTCGTGTTCTATAAAGATGGTAATAAGAGAAGAAATAAAAGGAAAAATTCAGAATTCATTGAAGTGTTATAGGTTGTTTTGGCTGCAGCAGTTGTTACAAAAAGTGGAAAACGTAAAGTTATTATATAGACAACATCTGTCCTTATTTAACTCATCTTACAATAGCTGTTATTTCTCGTCAATTTCGCCAGATGCCACGTTCACGCATTGAGGGACTATTAGCATCCTTTCCCAAACTAACAAGCACAGGACAACAGCATACTATTGCTGAAAATGAACACGTTCGTTTTGTTTATCAGCCATTGGATGAATTGTTTATTGTATTGATTACCAACCGTCAGGTAAATAATGACTATCATCTTTATATTGTAGCTCATTTCTTTCTTTGAAGTCAAATATTTTGCAAGATATTGAATCGCTTCACTTGTTTGCTCGAGTTGTTACTGACATTTGTCGTTCGTTTGATGAAGCCGATATATTCCGCAATGCCTTTGAATTATTGTGTGCCTTTGATGAAATCATATCTGTTGGATATAGAGAAAACGTAAACTTGTTCCAAGTAAAGAGTTCTATTGAAATGGAAAGCCATGAAGAAAGAATTCAAGAAATTATTGCCAAAGTAAGTTAACATATGGCTATAGAACCATTTTAACCATGTGTGCGCGCGCGTAGAATAAGGAAGCAGAAGCTAAGGAAGAGCTCAAGAGGAGGGCTAAACAGTTTGAATTGCAAAGAAAAGAAGCTCAAAAGAGAGGACAAGAGTTTATGCAGGGAAATTACAAGTCAGGCAACAGTGGTTTCGGCGGAGGCTTCAGTGGTCAGTTCTCTTCTTCTTCTTCATTTGAAACAACAACATCTGTTAGTGTTGTAAAAGAGAGCTACAGGTAATAATGATATATAAATGAAGTAGAGAAAATTAATGATTATATAGTCCTGTGGAAAGCAATGTGGATACACCTACTTCAAAACCAAAAGGTATGCAATTGGGTCGTAAGCCTAAGGCTGCCAATCTTTTTGAAGCTATAAATGAATAAAAAAAGAGATTTTATTAAGTTTTAATGCATGCAAAGTATCATGATCTCTGCCTCAACATCGCTTCAAGAGACAATATCCTGAATCATCGGCCTAGCATTTGCAAAGTTCTTTTCGAACCGAAAGGCCCACAATTCATTCGCTCATCAAATAGCTCTTAATGTGTAAACTGGGGTTCAGCTTTCTCAGCTATATTCTGATATGGTCTAGGCAAACTGGAGTACAGGCGTCATGTGTGCTCTCTTTCTCTCTCGCGGCTAGATGGCATTTTTCTTCCCTAAGAAAACCGCTGATTGAATATGTGGTAAGCTTTTTGAAGTCAGCCACAAAACATCACATATTTCAAATGCACCCTTCTTCATTCTAGAATTTATTTCTTACTGCGAAAAGTAAAAATATGCCACATAACAATAACAGCAGTAATCAAAATGAGGATTTCGAAGCATTTGAGAGTATGATCAATTCTATGATGCAAGGAGCATTTTCAACGTTATTCAGAGATATGAGTCATCGTCTATTTGAACCAGTGACTACAATCATAGACGGAAACCATACTCAAATAAATAGCCAACCTATATTGGATGATTATGAAGGAAGTGACTTTAGAAGACTAGTTAGGAAATCAAAGCAGAATAGAAGAGCTGAAGAAATAGTAAGGGAAGAACGGGAAGAGAATGAAGCACAACCAGCTGTCAGTTATAATGCTATACCACCAGCAGTGGGTGCTGTCACTTCTGCATTATCCAACACAATTGGAAGTGTATTTAAGCATGTATTTAGATATCCAGACAACAGTAATAACAATGCTATTGTTCCAAGCAATAATAGTAATGCAAATAACGAAGTAAATGCTAGTTTACGTTAGTTTATCATCAACTCATCCCTTTTGATAGATAACTCAACAGCCTTCAGGCATTCAATGGTCTTATAGTTCTACTCGGACAACATCTCAGCCTGATGGCACCCAAATAACAATAACAACACGAAAATCAAACGGAATAAGTGAAACAACGAAGCGGGTTCATTTCCCGGATGGACACGTAGAAGAGACGAAAGAAATAAACCATATCTAATTTTAAGTTACCGCCATTAGCATTTGGTAAGCATAAAACCCATTAAGGGAAGAATGATTATTCCGCAGTTTTGTTTTATATGAATATAAATGCGTTACGTCAATCTTTTCTTTCTTTCTTTCTTCCATTGATCAAAACATGTTTGACCATAACAATCCTGCTTCTTATAATCATCAATACTGTCAAGTCAATGGTATTCGTCTACATTATGTTGACCAAAATCCTACCTCAGATAAGCCTTTATTATTAATTCATGGATGGCCAGACCTGTAAGTCATTAATTATATGAAATTGAGCTATGCGTGTATAACATCAATCATTACTTTACAATTTAGCTGGATTGCCTGGAGAGAACAAATCCCTTTCCTCGTCACCCTCGGCTATCGTGTCATTGTTCCTAGTCTTCGTGGTTTCGGTGAATCCGTAAGTTGATATGTCAGTTTTTCTTTTTATCTAATCCCTTTGTTAGGACGCTCCCGAGGATCCAGCAGAGTATGGTTTTGGCGTAGTCAGCAAGGATTTGGCCGGCCTTCTGGACCATCTTCAAATACCCACTGTTACTGTCATTGGTCACGATTGGGGAGGAGCTGTCACTTGGCGCTTCGGCCAATTCTATCCCGAACGCGTCAAAGCACTTGCTAGTTTCTGTACACCCTATGTTCCTCCTGCACAACATCCTACTACCTTGGAAGAGATCGTAAAGACTTTCCCAAACTTTAAATATCAACTCTATTTGGTCACACCTGAGGCTGAGCAAGATATAAACAACAACGTTGCCAAATTCTTTCGCCGTGTCTTCCGTCCCATCGGTGACATGAAAGAACCATTGACTGATCCCGTTAAAGGAACACTAGCCGAAGGACGCGAAGATAGACCTCGACATGAAAAGATCCCCGAAACTGTCATGAATTACTATGTTGAACAATACAAGAAGCGTGGTGCTCGTGGTGGATTGAACTGGTATAAGCAAACTCATAACAACTATGTACAATGCAAAGGGTTAGACCCTATTATCCGCAAGCCTGCTATGATGGTTATGGCCGAAAAGGACGCTGCTTTGCCTCCCTCCATGGCCTCCAGAATGCCTGAATTCATTCCTGGTATTGAAATGCACCTTGTCAGTGACTCTGGTCACTGGATTCTTTGGGAAAAACCAGAAGAATGTAATCAACTCTTAAAGA